GACAGGCAGCAGCCTCATGCGGTCTAAAGCTCTCAGTTTGTCCAGAAATACAAAAAAGTTGCAGAGAGGCAATACTTTTAACTCAAACTATTACACTGAGTTGAGATCTGAGATCGGCTAGAAAAATATGTTTGTAATACCTTTCCAAAGTAAAAAAATAATGGCACAACATTGCTGGCATATCAACATATAACACAATATAACACAGTATCGGTATGATACTTCACCTTGTTGACAGGAAGCTTCCCACCGGAGTGGAAATCATCTATCGGACAGAAGGCAAGCTGTTTAACCTCAACAGACTGAAAGCCAAAACCAAGGTTACAACAACATCTGTTATAGAACTCCAGTATGCTGTTGACAACGTCGTCTGTGTGCATTCAGAAGAAGATCTACAAGCCACTCTAAACACCTTTGCAGAAGCATACGAGAAGCTCAGCCTGTCATTGAACATCGAAAAAACCAAGATACTGTTCCAGCAGACGCCAGCCAACCCCTCTCCAATGCCAGCAATACAGCTTAATGGTGTAACATTAGAAAATGTTGATCATTTCCGCTACCTTGGCAGCCAATTCTCCACCAAAGTCAACATTGACACTGAAATACAACACCGTCTGAGCTCTGCGAACACAGCATTTTTCCAAATGAAGCAGAGAGTGTTTGAGGACCGGGACATCCGTAGGGATAACAAGGTGCTTGTCTATAAAGCTATTGTCCTCCCAACCCTGCTATATGCCTGTGAGATGTGGACTGTCTACAGACATAACATGCAACTCCTGGAACGATTCCATCAGCGCTGCCTCCGGAAAATCCTGCAAATCTCTTGGGAAGACAAGCGGACAAATCGTCAGCGTGCTGGAAGAAGCAAAGACCACCAGCATTGAAGCGATGGTCCTCCGCCATCAACTCCGCTGGACCGGCCACATTGTCTGGATGCCTGACCACCGTCTCCCAAAGCAGTTGCTCTACTCCGAACTCAAGAACGGAAAACAGAATGTTGGTGGACAGGAAAAGAGATTTAAAGATGGGCTCAAAGCCAACCTTAAAAACTCTGGCATAGACACTGAGAACTGGGAAGCCCTGGCCCTTGAACGCTCCAGCTGGAGGTCAGCTGTGACCAGCAGTGCTGCAGAATTTGAAGAGGCACGAATGGAGGGTGAAAGGAAGAAGCGTGCCAAGAGGAAAGTGCATGCCAACCCCGACCGAGACTGCCTTCCACCTGGAAACCAATGCCATCACTGCGGAAGAAGATGCAGAGCAAGAATAGGGCTCCACAGCCACATACGGACTCACAAGAATACTGGAAGACATTCATCCTTGGAAAACGAGGGATCGCCTAAGTAAGTAAGTATTGTCGAAGGCTTTCATGGCTGGAATCACTAGGTTCTTGTGGGTTTTTTCGGGCTATAGAGCCATGTTCTAGAGGCATTTCTCCTGACGTTTCGCCTGCATCTATGGCAAGCATCCTCAGAGGTGTGAGGTCTGTTGGAATTAGGACAATGGGTTTATATATCTGTGGAATGGCTGGGGTGGGGCAAGGAGCTCTTCCCTGCTGCAGTTAGGTGTGAATGTTTAGCTGATCACCTTCATTAGCATTTGAAGGCCTGCCTGAGCCTGGGAAATCTGTTGCTGGGAGGTGTTCATCTGTGCCTGGTTTTTTCCTCTCTGTTGTTTAGCTGTTATAATTTTAGAGTTTTTTAATACTGGTAGCCAGATTTTGTTCATTTTCATGGTCTCTTCCTTTCTGTTGAAATTGTCCACATGCTTGTGGATTTCAATGGCTTCTCTGTGTAGTCTGACATGGTGGTTGTTGGAGTGGACACAGCATATTATTTGAGAACACAGAAATGCTGGACCACACCAACAACCACCATGTCAGACTACACAGAGAAGCCATTGAAATCCACAAGCATGTGGACAATTTCAACAGAAAGGAAGGAACCATGAAAATGAACAAAATCTGGCTACCAGTATTAAAAAACTCTAAAATTATAACAGCTAAACAACAGAGAGGAAAAAACCAGGCACAGATTAACACCTCCCAGCACAGATTTTCCCAGGCTCAGGCAGGCCTTCAAATGCTAATGAAGGTGATCAGCTAAACATTCACACCTAACTGCAGCAGGGAAGAGCTCCTTGCCCCACCCCAGCCATTCCACAGATATATAAACCCATTTTTCCTCCTTCCAACAGACCTCACAACCTCTGAGGATGCTTGCCATAGATGCAGGCAAAACATCAGGAGAAATGCCTCTAGAACATGGCTCTATAGCCCGAAAAAACCCACAAGAACCTAAGTAAGTATTGACATATAAACAAGGTGCAGTGAATCGAAGCAGATTTATGAACACTGGCAAGCAAGAGAGTCCAGTAAGCCACTGCTGAGCAAAAAGAAATGGTGGAGTAACATTTAAAATTCAAGGTACATGCTACCTGTCAAATCTACTGCAATGCATCAGTGCTTCGGTGCAGCTGCCAGATGCTGCAGAGTGATACTTGGAATTCTGGCAATGTTTCTGAAAGGTAAAAGCTGTAGGTCAAATCGTGGGGAAAGAGATTGCTGTATCAGCACTCAATTTATAGATCGGTCTCCGCTATAAATAGTCAAAACAACTGGTGAGTCACCACATCCTCAACAACAGAAAAGCACCAAGACCTCTTAAAGTCCTACATACAACATTCTAGTTTGAATAAACCGAATTCTTGGCAAAACATAAAGAATGGCAGAATGCCATCTTTAAATATGCTTAATCTAATACAGGACATCATGTTTATTATTTTATGTCTTTTTCACCTGAAAGCCTGCATGTTTTCAATACCATAGAATTTTAATATTTATTTATTTATTTTATTTACGATATTTATAGCTCACTTTCTCAGCCATATGGCGACTCAAGGCGGGTTACAGATTGGCACAATTCGATGTCAGGCATTCATAAAAGTGACATTAAAAATAATCAACATTACAATATAAAACATAAATAAAAACCGTTAAAAGCATATAATCATGGGTGTCATCTTGCTAAAAACGTTATCCAGTAACATCGTTTGGCTATTGCATGTTCATAATTCATAGTTCCGTGTTATATATTCCGCTGCATTCTCAAAAGCTTCAGAAAGTCAGGAGTGAGGGGGGGGGTGATCTAATATCCCTGGGGAGGGAGTTCCATAGCTAGGGGGCCACCATTGAGAAAGCCCTGTCCTTTGTCTCTGTGAATCGCATTTGCAAGGCAGGCAGGATCGAGAACAGGGCCTCCCCAGACCATCCTAAGCCCCTAGATGGTTCATAGGAGAAGATACGTTCCGACAGGTAAGCTGGGCTGGAATGATTTAGGGCTTTATAGGCTAAAGCCAGCATTTTGAATTGTGCTCGGTAGCAAATTGGCAGCCAGCGGAGCTGACACAACAGAGGAGTAGTGTGTTCCCTGAGCGCCGCTCCTGTTAGTAACCTGGCTGCTACCCGTTGGACCATTTGAAGCTTCCAAACAGTCTTCACGTAGAGCCCATTGCAGTAATCTATTCGGGATGTAGCAAGAACATGGACCACCGTGGCCAAGTCAAACTTCCCAAGGTATGGGCACAGCTGGCACACAAGTTTTAAAATCGTGCAAATGCCGAAACTTGGGGTTCCAAGCTCAGCAATGAGTCCAGGATCACCCAAGCTGCAAACCTGCATCTTCAGGAGGAGTGTAACCCCGTCCAACAAAGGCTGTAACCCTATGCCTTGTTCGGCCTTTTGACTGACCAGGAGTACCTTTGTCTTGTCTGGATTCAATTTCAATTTGTTCGCCCTCATCCAGAAGTTGACTGCCACAACCTGGGGATCACAACCAGACACAGTGAAGACATCTGCCCTTGCTCTATGCTACTCTGCTGCTGAGTACGCATGCCCAGTGTGGAACACATCTCATCACACTAAAACAGTGGATGTGGCTCTTAATGAGACATGCCGCATTATCACAGGGTGTCTGCGCCCTACACCACTGGAGAAATTACACTGCTTAGCCGGTATTGCACCACAGTAGCCGACAATAGTGAAAGGACCAAGGCAGAGACATCTCCAGCTCATCCCTTGTTTGGGTATCAGCCAGCACGTCAACAACTTAAATCAAGAAATAGTTTTCTAAGATCTACACAGAGTCACTTGCTGGAACACCTCAGCAAGCGAGAGTCCAAAAGTGGCAGGCTCAAACCCAGCACCTCAATCCGTAGGTGATACCAGATGAGAGACTCCCCCCTGGGCACACAGAAGACTGGGCGACTTGGAAGGCGCTGAACAGACTGCGCTCTGGCACCACGAGATGCAGAGCCAACCTTAAGAAATGGGGCTACAAAGTGGAATTCACGACATGCGAGTGTGGAGAAGAGCAAACTACAGACCACCTGCTGCAATGCAACCTGAGCCCTGCTACATGCACAATGGAGGACCTTCTTGCGGCAACACCAGAAGCACTCCAAGTGGCCAGATACTGGTCAAAGGACATTTAACCAACTACCAAGTTTGCAAACTTTGTGGTTTTTTATCTGTTTGTTTGTTTTGTTCTTTTAGAAATATACAATGGTATGGTTGCTGATGACATGATAAATAAATAATCCGGATCGTCACAGCGGCCAAGCATTGGTTCAGCCTCCTTAGTAGCAGGTGGGAAGGAGTGACAGAATTGGACGTCATTTGCGTACTGGTGACACCACACCCCAAAACTCCAGATGATCTCCCCAAGTGGTTTTATGTAGATGTTAAACAACGTGGGGGATAATACTGACCCCTTTGGAGAGAGGCTGGATCTACACTGCCATACAATGCAGTTTCAGAATACAGATTAACAGTGTAGACTCATATAGTCAATGCAGTTAATCTTGCATTCTGAAACTGCATTATATGGCAGTGTAGATCCAACTTGTCTTCACTCTAAAAGACTCTAATTTTGGAATGAATACTTTTGTTGCAATGAGTCACAGATGTGAAAAAAGGAGTCGCCTATTTAAAAGAAATCAATGCATCCTGGAAACGCGTCTGTTTATTTTTAAAAGTTGAATCCCACTTGCATTAACTCATACTATATATTCCAATTTCTTGATAGAGCATGCGGCATAACAAATCTCGTAGCAACTGCACATAATTATATAGATGTTTGTATAATGGCACTGAATCAGTTGTGTACAGACCTCTGCTGACAATACAGAACAAAAGAAAATATTCTGTCCTTTTTGAACAAAGTTACTCCCCCATATGAGAATTTTGCAAAAGAGAAGGTCATCCAAATCTGTGGATTCATTTCAAAGCAACATTCTGCCAAGACCGCAGCCCCAAAATCCAGGAAGCATCAATCTTCGGTATATTCTGCAGCTACTTCCATGTAAGGGGCCCTGATTTCCCAGTGTCTCTGGCACGGTTTCCCTTAAACCCCATGGGCTGCCCAGAACGACTTCGCAAGTCACGATCTGACATTTCACTTTGTGCCATCTCTTCATCATACCTAATGAAAAGGACAAAGGCATCAATCAATCACTTGGCTCAAAAGGAGTGATGCAGTGAACCAAAGCCAAAGGGTGCAGCTCTGACCTAACCATTACAGATTGAGGATGAGGAAGTTGCACAACTGAACATGCTGCTTTATGTTTAAAAAGATGAGACACTACATATTAAAATGCTTATTTCTAGAAAAAGAGTCTTGTTCAGCCTTCTAGTTTTTTTTGTACACAGAGCGATTTATGAGGGAAATACATGTGTAAATCTCCAGTAATTGCAATGACTACAGTACAGTATGTGCTTGTTCACTCATCATCCCTCTGTCATAAAACAGAATAAGAGCAACTCATTATTTTGAATATATAGCTTTATGTAGAAATACACATCAGAGTCTAATCAACACTGAGGTACTCCTTCCAACTTCGTTACTTGTGTTTGGATTGGAATATTTTAATAAATCAAATACAGAAATTGTCAGGTTTTACAATGTATTGTAATGTAATATAGCTGAGTCATGCACTGCTAATAGGCTTCTATTGGAAATGCTGAGTCATGCATTGACTGTATATAGAACTTCATTTGGGGAATGTGTTCTGGCCTAGTCCAGGTGATTGTGAACAAGTTTTCCGAAGCCGTCACGGAAGAAGTCGACACTCTGTTTCCACAACCTGCGTCTCACAGTTCTCTCATCCTGTGTACCCATCATGCACAGATCTTCCGATAGCCAAGCAAAGCAATAATGTGACCCACACGTTCTTGTGAAATGCCAATTATGTTTGAAATTTCTCTCTGAGTGATACGATTATCGTCCTGAATCAATCTGTCATCCTTTTGCTTGTGAAGCTTGGTGGATGCTGTCACGGGACATCCAACTCTTTGTTTGTCACGCAAGTCAGATGTTCCCACCTCAACATCTTTAAACTTACTCATCCAACAATGCACAGTACTCACATCAACACAATCACCATAAACAGCTTGCATTCTCTGATGAATCTCCTTTGGGGTGACACCTTCTGCTGTCAAGAATTCAATGGCTGCACGTTACTTAAGTTGCACTGACCGACTGTCTGTGCAGGGTTTCATACTTCACACTTTAACAACACAACCATTCAATGCTAAGGCGTCCCACCAAAATGGAACTGTAGAGGAAAGTCTACTGAACAAGCTTGTACCTGCTGCTGTACAGTGCTGTTATCTCAAGTCCTCTCTGCTGCATAGTTTCAGCAGACCAGGTGGCCTGTATTTCTCATATCTAAAGCAAAACTGACCAGTGTAAATATGGCAGCGTGAGAAATAATATCTGCCAAGTATTTCAAAAAGCTGGAATAGCTATACTGTATAGTATATATGTGTGTGTATACATACATACATACTTACAGTGTTTCTGGGCTTCATTATTTTGAATTACTCCAGGTCTGTGACCGCATAATAACATTCATTCATTCATCATTCTGAATATCATAATTGTAACATGCCTTCTTAAAATAAACCATGTGATGGACTTTATGATGGCACCATCTTTCTTTTGTGCCATTATACTCTGCTTTGCTGCATTGTGCCCAAATCATTTTTATGAGTAGACTTTTTTATCCACCTGGACTTTTATTTTGGATGGTGATGAGGAACAAATGACCCCACAGCTATTATTGGTCTACAGCAGTAGACTGTCATCTTTCGTCATAAGCTGCACTGATTTGAGCAATATCTGGGGGGCTGTTGAGTTTCTTTCTTGTATTAGGAAATCATGAGTGTTTTGTGATTGGGATTGTCTGTAAATATTTGCAACATCTAATCTTAAGCTGCTGCTTAGCACATACATTACTGAGGTTCAGCATTGAACGGTTGTGTTGTTAAAGTGCGAAGTATGGAACCCTGCGCAGATGGTCGGTCAATGCGACTTAAGCAACGTGCAGTCATTGAATTCTTGACAGCAGAAGGTGTTACTCCAAAGAAGATTGATCAGAGAATGCAAGCTATTTATGGTGATTGTGTTGATGTGAGTACTGTGCGTCGTTGGGCAAGTAAGTTTAAAGATGTTGAGGTGGGAACATCTGACTTGCGGGAGAAACAAAGAGTTGGACGTCCTGTGACAGCAACCACCGAGCTTCACAAGCAAAAGGTTGACAGATTGATTCAGGACGATCGTCGTATCACTCAGAGAGAAATTTCAAGCGTAATCAGCATTTCACAAGAACGTGTGGGTCACATTATTGCTTTGCTTGGCTATCAGAAGATCTGTGCACGATGGGTACCCAGGATGCTGACGTCTGAAATGAAAGCGCACAGACTTGAAACTTCAGAAACTGGATCTCGCCACTGTACAACATCCTCCATACAGTCCAGATTTAGCACCGTCTGACTGCCATCTCTTCCTGATAATGAAAGAAGATCTGCGGGGACATCATTACGCTTCTTTTTTTTAAAAAAAATATGTTTATTGTAGTTTTGCTTACAAACATTTAAAAACAATAGAATTATTAGAAAGAGGAAAGGGAAGATAGTGGATAGGTGTAGGGGTAGGCAAGGGTAGGCTTGGGGGTAGGGGATGGACGCATTCGAGCGTCAAGAATAGGGGGCAATGAAGAAGAAGGGGGATGGCGAAGAAAAGGAGGGGAAGGATGAGAAACAAGGGGGGGGGAAGTAGTGGGAGAGAAAGAAGGCAGAAAAGGGACAGATATATAACAGTTAAAAAAGAATAGTTTAGAAACTGTTTCTTTTTGTTGACTTTATCTTCCCTGGGTAGTTTTAGTTATCACTCTGGTGCCGTGTTTTTGTTTAATAATGGTCACTTCTTTTTTGGATTTTTCAAGTCTCTGATTTCTTGTTTTCATTTCTGTTACTTGTGCTCACTCGGGGGCAGCAAGTCTTCGTGGGTTTTGTTGTGATTCCATGTAATTTTTGAAGAGGGTCCAGTCTGTTGGGTTTATTGGCTTGCCCTCTGGGTCTTTAAGATAGTATGTTAATAAATCCATGCCCATTATTTCGGAAACCTTAGCTTCCCATTCTTCTTTGGTTGGCAGCTCCTTTAGTTTCCACTTCTTAGCGTATGTTATCCTTGCTACTGTTGTCAGGAATGTGAATAGTTTGTCTTTATTTCTTTCGAGCGGTATATCTTCGTCCGTAATGCCGAGAAGGAAGTATTCTGGTTTTAATTGTATTGTTGTTTGCAGGATCTTCTGAGAGGCCTCCTGTATTGTTTTCCAATATTTTCTAGCTTTAGTACATGACCACCACATGTGATAGTATGTTCCCACTTGGGTTTGGCACTTCCAACATTTGTTTTGGGTGTTTTTATACATTAGTCCAAGTTTTTGTGGGGTCATGTGCCATCGGAAGAACATTTTGTACCAATTCTCTTTCAGGTCAGATGAGTACGTGTATTTTAGTTTCAGTTTCCATGCTTGTTCCCATTCTCTTAGGTTTATTGATCTTCCAATTTTTCTGGCCCACTTGATCATACATTCCTTTATTAATTCGGTCTCAGTTGACCATTCTAGTAGTTTTGAGTAAATCTTGGTTATGATTTTCTTTCCGTTCTTTATCAGGGGTTCCCAGAAGTCTTCCTTATCTGTAAATCCTATCTTTGAGTCTTTGTTAAAGTGTTCTTTGATTTGTAAGAACTGGAACCAGGTAATGTTTTTGTGTTGAATTGTTATCTCCTCTCGTGATTTTAGATGTAATTTCCCTTCTTTCTTCATTAGTAGGTCACTGTATTTTGGCCATTCCGACCAGCCTAGTAGTCTCCTTTGGCTCGCTTCTAGGGGACATCATTACACTTCTGATGAAGACTTTGAGAGAACTGTGAGACACTGGTTGTGTTGACTTCTTCTGTGACAGCTTCAGAAAACTTGTTCATCATTGGCAAAAATGTATCCAATTGTCTGGTGATTATGTGGAAAAGTGAATAGTGGTAGTTAAAGAGAAAATTCTAAGGAATATTTCTGCGTTTGAGTTATTAAAATATTCCCATCCAAAGCCAAGCAACGAAGGTGGAGGCATTACTTTTCATTCAACCCTCATAAATGAGCCACAATCTCAAACTCTCTCCACTTATCTCACAGACAGCTGCTCTATCGATTTCCTTCTTAACAAACTACAGATTTCCCTGATATCTGAATAATGGTACTCATTTGATCTCCAAAATGAAATCAAAATCCCATCTAATGAAACAGTATTGAGTCTAAAAAAGTTACAATAATGGTTTTAATGAAAAACTTAGCACATGTAATTTCAGTGCAAGGAGTATGCAGCTGCGAAGCTATCCTTTAATACTTACAAAACCTCATAATTCCCAAGAGCTTCCTTTGGAGGTGATTTATTCCATTTGCAATCTGGAATTTCTCCATTAGGCACAGCAATATTGAGGGTATCGTTAATAAGATTGTATTTGAGTATACGGTCATTGGCGGTACTGGAGGTAAGAGATGGAGAAGCATTGACCTATGGAAGGAGGAAAGCAGATTACTACCCACCATTTTCACTACAAAGAAAAAAAATCTTATTTATGAAACAGAATGGTGCAATGGTTGCACGTCATGAATTATTAAGCTGTCAATCGTACCTTATGTGCAAACCTGAATCACTGGCTTGTTGCTTTCCTCACAAGCCAAAATCATAAACCATGGGTGGTTCTCCGCTCCTGGTTTTAATTTATTAAACAGCAACAACCCAGATATCCAAATTCCAATGTAATGCTAAACAAATCACTGGCAGATACTTTTTGGTCTAATTCAGTGGTTCTCAACCTGTGGGTCCCCAAGTGTTTTGGCTTACAACTCCCAGAAATCTCAGCTAATGTACCAGTTGTTAGGGTTTCTGGGAATTGAAGGCCAAAACATCTGGGGACCCACAGGTTGAGAACCACTGGAATTGTACCCACTGACAGGAGAAGTAAAGTCGGAGCAAGGAAGCAGCATGTAAGAACACTAAGATTTTCTGGGGAGGCCCTGCTCTCAGTCCCCCCACTATCACAGACGCGTTTGGCAGGGAAGAGAAACAGGGCCTTCTCAGTGATTGCCCCACGATTATGGAACTCCCTTTCTGGCAATACTAGATCAGCCCCCTCCCTCCTGTCCTTCAGAAGAATGGTGAAGACATGGCTGTGCGACTAAGCCTTTGGGACAGTGCAGTGAGGCAAAATGGTGTCCTGAGATGGTTTTGTAAGCAATTTTTAATGTGAATATAAGTTATTTTAATGTTTGTGTATATTTATGGTTTTATGTCCCGGCATTGAATGTTTGCTGTATATATGTTGTGCTCCGCCCTGAGTCCCCTGCGGGGTGAGAAGGGAAGAATATAAATGTTTTAAATAATAAATAATAAAATAACATACCTATTTGTTCATAGTAAACCCAAATTCTTAATAATTGTAGTTTAGCACAAAGTACAAACCACTAATGGCATTATCTTTCCACAGTGGTGCGAATCATGTTCTTGAAAAGCAAGAATGCTGATGGCTGTTAGTAGGGTTTCTTAGGGCAGAAATGCTTTTGCTAAGGAGTCAGACTAAATATGCCAAGGAACTAATGAGCAGATAGCCAATACAGAAATCAAACAGACTTTATACTTGGGAACACAAAATGGAGAAGCTGAGCGAAGGAAGATCGATGCTTTTGAGCTGTGGTGTTGGAGGAAAGTTCTGAGAGTGCCTTGGACTGCGAGAAGATCCAACCAGTCCATCCTCCAGGAAATAAAGACCGACTGCTCATTGGAGGGAAGGATACTAGAGACAAAGTTGAAGTACAGCAAAGCCTAGAGAAGACAATTATGCTGGGGAAAGTGGAAGGTAAAGGAAGAGGAGCTGACCAAGGGCAAGATGGATGGATAGCATCCTTGAAGTGACTGGACTGACCTTGAAGGAGCTGGGGGGGGGGGGGGGACGGCTGACAGGGAGCTCTGGTGTGGGCTGGTCCATGAGGTCACGAAGAGTCGGAGACGACTGAACGAATGAACAACAACAACACAGTCTCTCTGCAAAAACAAGACCAGGAACAGATTGTGGCACAGACCATGAACTATGAATATCAAAAATTTGAGAAACACTAAACTAATTATTGAGATAAAAATACAACCTGAAAAACATACCTGTAAAATTTAAAGACAATGTAAAAAACAAATGTACAGTAAGATTGAAAATATTTGAACTCCTACTCTGTGTATTAATAAGAGTAATATTAATACTCTGTGTATTAATAGGCAAAAATACGGTGAGGTGGATCTGTAATTGGTTAAATGGATGAACCCAGGAGGTGCTCACAATGCTTCCTCTTCATCCTGGAAAGAAGTGACGAGTGGAGTGCCGCAGGGTTCTGTCCTGGGCCCGGTCCTGTTCAACATCTTTATTAATGACTTAGATGAAGGGCTAGAAGGCAGGATCATCAAGTTTGCAGACGACACCAAATTGGGAGGGATAGCCAATACTCCAGAGGACAGGAGCAGGATTCAAAACGATCTTGACAGATTAGAGAGATGGGCCAAAACTAACAAAATGAAGTTCAACAGTGACAAATGCAAGATACTCCACTTTGGCAGGAAAAACTAAATGCAAAGATACAGAATGGGGGACAATGCCTGGCTCGAGAGCAGTACGTGTGAAAAAGATCTTGGAGTCCTCGTGGACAACAAGTTAAACATGAGCCAACAATGTGATGTGGCAGCAAAAAAAGCCAATGGGATTTTGGCCTGCATCAATAGGAGCATAGTGTCTAGATCTAGGGAAGTCATGCTACCCCTCTATTCCACTTTGGTTAGACCACACCTGGAATATTGTGTCCAATTCTGGGCACCACAACTGAAGAGAGAGTGACAAGCTGGAATGTGTCCAGAGGAGGGCGACTAAAATGATCAAGGGTCTGGAGAACAAGCCCTATGAGGAGCGGCTTAAGGAGCTGGGCATGTTTAGCCTGAAGAAGAGAAGGCTGAGAGGAGATATGATAGCCATGTATAAATATGTGAGAGGAAGCCACAGGAGGAGGGAGCAAGCTTGTTTTCTGCTTCCCTGGAGACCAGGACGTGGAACAATGGCTTCAAACTACAAGAGAAGAGATTCCATCTGAACATGAGGAAGAACTTCCTGACTGTGAGAGTCGTTCAGCGATGGAACTCTCTGTCCCAGAGTGTGGTGGAGGCTCCTTCTTTGGAAGCTTTTAAACAGATGCTGGATGGCCATCTGTCAGGGGTGATTTAAATGCGATATTCCTGCTTCTTGGCAGGGGGTTGAACTGGATGGCCCATGAGGTCTCTTCCAACTCTTTGATTCTATGATTCTAAGTTAATGAGTATTGCAAATGCCACAGGAAATCTACAAAGAACCTGAACTTGGTCAGGGGTATGATTTTTCCTCAGACGGAATACCAACGTAGCTGCACTGAGGAAGTAACATGTATTCCCAGATCCATTTTTCGTAAGTACTGCTTTCCTGCTTGTGATAGCTCCATGAAAGGTAGCACCTGTATCAGCCAGGGAGTTCAGAAGTAGACGTGTTGGACTGCAGTACTCATGGACACATTGATTATTCTGAGAAAATGACTCCAATGTTATCAAAATTTCCTTGCTACACACTTTCTTTTAGTCTTTCTTTATAAAGTGATGGGTTTATTGGATCTCAAGGTCCACACAATTCTTAAGAGGAAAAGTACAGAGAGAACATAACCCTGTTTACCTCAATAAGCCACGGCTTAAGCTTGTCATCAATGATGATATCATACCCATAGCATTCAAAGCAGTGTTTATCATTATTCATTACAGGCTGAAAAAGTTGAAAGCAACCATTAAAGGGCAGGAAAAAAAATCAGCAGATGTTTAACAACTATGAAATATGGGTGATTTAAATTTGTAAGGCATTTCATGTCTGGTCAATAATGGTGTGTTGAAATTACCAGTGTGTCACAAGGCATGTGAAAGGATACCAATAGTCACATTATGGGTAATGAACAAGAATCCACAGTCTAATATTATTCAATATAGTGGTATGGTGCAATACAGCAATGTTTAATGCTGATATTGTACTATGCTAATAACATAATATATTGTATGTAATATATACCTTGTAAGCCGCTCTGAGTCCCTTTCCGGGTGAGAAGGGCAGCATGTAAGTGTCGTAAATAAATAAATAAATAAGTGACTTCAGTAAATTGGTGCTTGCAACTTTCACCAGTTGCCCTTTCATCCAATCCAGAGTCCTCATGATATGGCAATGAGGACAATCCACATAACCATTCTAAGGATAATAATAATAATAATAATAATAATAATACTTTATTTATACCCCGCTACCATCTCCCCAGGGGACTCAGTGCGGCTTACATGAGGCCGAGCCCAAAATACAACAATATAAGCAATAACAACAACAATACAAGCCATTTAAAAACAACAAAACAATAAAACAATAACATAAGCGTTATCAATAGGATAACACACTTTAAAATCTACGGGTAGGCCAAATGTTGTTAAAATTAAAAATAATCTGTCAATCTAAAAGTAATTTATAGCGATCAATTGCTTCATTTATAACCCACTTTCCCCCCAAAAGTGGGGTTTAAGGAGGCTAAATATTTATATTTTTATATGTATGAAGTCTGTTACTCTGTTTAATGAGCTGCATATAGCACAAAGGCACATAATGATATCAATATTCAAAAGGTGGTATAAGAGCAAAATAAACCATTGCAATACTTAATATTCATTATGCTTTGAAATATATTACATATCCCTACTTTTTTAGGATATAATTCAGAACAACATGACATTATACATCAAAAAATATAATTTCAAAGAAATCCTAATACTCAGGAACAGCAAAAAATCTCACCAGGCTTTTCTTGGATATATGTATAATATTATATAATATTAATAATATATAATTTATAATTTATTTATTTATTTACGGCATTTATATGCCGCCCTTCACAGAGCGGCTTACAAGATATATTTTCATACAATATATTATAGTATTAGCATAGTACACTATCAGTATTATATATTACTATATTGCACTATACCATTATATTGTAATATTATTAGTAATATATATAATTATAATTATAATGAATTATTATTACTAGAATTATATTGTATTACATTATAATATGTATATACAATATACTATATTACATTATTAGTAAAGACAAGATGGAACTGTCTTCTGCTCTCCTCTGTCTTCACCCTGGCCAGAGCACCAGTTGGTGAAAGAGGGAGGAGAGGTCTCCCAACTGATGATATAGGCAGAAGACAAGATGGAAATGTCTTCTGCTTCCCTCTGTCTTCACTCTTTATAATATTATAATATTTATAATATTACATTTATAATATTATGATGTAATGCAATATAATACTACTACTAATAATAATATGATATTATTATTATACATTTATATTACATGTAATATACTGATATTAATATGAATTCCTAATAATATTACAATATAATGGTATAGTACAATATAGTAATATTTAATACTGATATTAATATGAATTCCTAATAATATTACAATATAATGGTATAGTACAATATAGTAATATTTAATACTGATATTAATATGAATTCCTAATAATATTACAATATAATGGTATAGTACAATATAGTAATATTTAATACTGATATTAATATGAATTCCTAATAATATTACAATATAATGGTATAGTACAATATAGTAATATTTAATACTGATATTAATATGAATTCCTAATAATATTACAATATAATGGTATAGTACAATATAGTAATATTTAATACTGATATTGTGCTATGCTAATAATACAATATATTGTATGTACATATATCTTGTAAGCCGCTCTGAGTCCCCTTTGGGGTGAGAAGGGCAGCATATAAATGTCGTAAACAAATAAATAATAAATAAATTGGATACATCTTTAAAAGAATTTGGTAACAAATACATTATCATTAAAAAATACAATATACAAGATAATCCTGAGTAATTGTCTCTCTTTCCTATTATGCTAGTAAATGTGTTTCTCCACTCACTGCGACAGCCTTCAGCGACTGCACAATTATCCAGTGTATTTCATCAAACAGCTTGCTGGTGACCTCTTTCCCTCGAGTGCTTTCAAGATACAAGCGCAGATTGCTCACTGTCCACTTGCCACCATGAATATGATTGTAATCATCCTACACAAGACATTCATTAATCAGGATCTAAAGAGCTGGCATTATATGTCAACATTCCATATATTTTTCAAAACAACAAGGTTCTATGCCCATCTGCTATAATAGGGACAACACTGCTGAGTCTCAACCTGTAGGAAAGATGACATTGGGTTACTGTGAGTTTTCCAGGTTGTATGGTCATGTTCCAGAAGCATTCTCTCCTAGGAGAGAGTGCTTCTGGAGCATGACGATACAGCCCGGAAAACTCACAGCAACCCAGTGCTTCCGGCCATGAAAGCCTTTGACAACAATATATGGGCCACCTTTTAATCCAGACCAACGTTTCTCAACCTGGGGGTCGGGACCCCTGGGGGAGTTGCAATGGGGGTGTCAGAGGGATCACCAAAGATCATCAGAAAATACGGTATTTTTTTTTGTTCATGGGGGTTCTGTGTGGGAAGTTTGGCCCAATTCTATCATTGGTGGGGTTCAGAATGCTCTTTGATTGTAGGTGAACTATAAATCCCAGCAACAACACCCAAATGTCAAAATCTATTTTCCCTAAACTTCACCAGTATTCATGTTTGGGCCTATTGAGGATTCCCGCCACGTTTGGTCCAGATCCATCATTGTTTGAGTCCACAGTGCTCTCTGGATGTAGGTGAACTACAACTCCAAAACTCAAGGTCAATGTGAACCAAACCCTTACAGTATTTTCTGTTGGTCATGGTAGTTCTGTGTGTCAAGTTTTCATAGAAGTTCTTCCTCATGTTCAGATGGAATCTCCTCTCTTGTAGTTTGAAGCCATTGTTCCGCGTCCTAGTCTCCAAGGAAGCAGAAAGCAAGCTTGCTCCCTCCTCCCTGTGGCTTCCTCTCACATATTTATACATGGCTATCATATCTCCTCTCAGCCTTCTCTTCTTCAGGCTAAACATGCCCAGCTCCTTAAGCCGCTCCTCATAGGGCTTGTTCTCCAGACCCTTGATCATTTTAGTCGCCCTCCTCTGGACACATTCCAGCTTGTCAATATCTCTCTTGAATTGTGGTGCCCAGAATTGGACACAATATTCCAGTTGTGGTCTAACCAAAGCGGAATAGAGGGGTAGCATTACTTCCCTAGATCTAGACACTATGCTCCTCTTGATGCAGGCCAAAATCCCATTGGCTTTTTTTGCCGCCACATCACATTGTTGGCTCATGTTTAATTTGGCTCATGTTTAACTTGTTGTTTGTTCAATTCCATCATTGGTGGAGTTCAGAATGCTCTTTATAGGTTAACTATAAATCCTAGCAACTACAACTCCCAAATCACAAACTCAATCCCCCCTAACCCCACCAATATTCAAATTTAAGTGTATCAGGTATTTGTGCCATAAATGAAAATACATCCTGCATATCAGATATTTACATTATGATTAATAACAGTAGCAAAATTACAGTTGTGAAGTAGCAAAGAAAATAATTTTATGGTTGGGGGTCACCACAACATGAGGAACTGCATTAAGGGATCGCGACATTAGGAAAGTTGAGAACCACTGATCCAAACATATTAAAATCTATATGTATATAAATAAAAATGTAATGTTCGTTTGTGGGATTAACAGAAATCAAAAACCACTAGACGAATTGACACCAAATTTGGACACAACACACCTAACAACCCAATGTATGTCCTTCACTCAAAAAAATGATTTTGTCATTTAGGAGTTGTAGTTGCTGGGATTTATAGTTCACCTACAATCAAAGAATATTCTGAACCCCACCAACAATGGAACTGAACCAAACTTGGCACACAGTTCTCCCATGACCAACAGAAAATACTGGAAGGGTTTGGTGGGCAATGTCCTTTGGTTTTGGAGTTGTAGTTCACCTACATCCACAGATCACTATGGACTCAAACAATGATGGATCTGGACCAAACTCTATAAGAATACTCAATATGCCCAAATGTGAACTCTGGTGGAGTTTGGGGAAAATAGAATCTTGACATTTGGGAGTTGTAGTTGCTGGGATTTATAGTTCACGTACAATCACAGAGCATTCTGAACCCCATCAACTATAGCATTGGGCCAAACCTCCCACACAGAACCCCCATGTGGGCCACAGCAACGCTGTGTATTTTTCTATAGAAATATTGTTTAAGCCCAAAGAAGAGGCACAGTCTCTTGATCACCATGTTCTGTATCCAGCACTTTACATGATAGACTTCTGGGAGCCAACTGCATACATGATGTGTGTTCTTGACTTTTAGCACTTGACCACTATTGAGGGCGTGTGGCATTGCAACCCAAAATAAAATGACTCCTGAAAACCCAGAAATCTTATCATTCCTGGAATTAGCTAACATTTCAGACACCTTTTGTCTTTTTGTTGCAATGTTAAAAACAAAGAAAACCAAGGTAATGTGCTTGAATTACTTCCAAAGAGAAACAGTGTACAAGGATGAAAACAACAGCTGGCTGCCAACCCTTCCCATAGCAGTGCGACTACTCATCCATGGTTGCCGCCACCTATGCAGGCACTGTAGAGATGTTATCTCACACAGATAAATAAACACACGCACGCCCTAACCAAAGCTGTGTTTTCAGGAAACCAAGTTTCCTTGACGCAATGGTCAATGGCAACTTGAAAAGAAAGGATTATATTATTAAAACTGAGGAATTAAAAACAATACGTTTAAACTCTTGAGATGAGTCAGGCCATGTAAAACAAAGGAACACTTCTTTTGAAACTGGCCAGTCTTTTGAAGCTGTCCATTTCATAAGAAAGCAAGATAGGCTGTGCTAACATTTGTGAGTGCGTTTGTATCCATCTTGAAAACTAACATCACATTGAAAGGTATCTTGCATCTCCCAAATGATTCACCAGCATTCAGTCTAATGAAATTTAAGCATGACTACCACTTTCAGCTATCGAGTGCATTATTGATTACAAGTGTTGTGCTGTAACCCACATCCTGTCTCAAAGCACAAATTATAAGCACAGAAACCTATGCTTACTCATTTTCTGGCAAGGCTCAAAGGTCCAGTTTGTGCTTTCATTCTGTTGTTTTCGTACAGCATTAGAGTTTTTTGTTCTTTTTACCAAGAGTGCAGCAAGCAAAGAGCTATAGTATTGTCGAAGGCTTTCATGGCCGGAATCACTGGGTTGCTGTAAGTCTTTTCGGGCTATATGGCCATGTTCTAGAGGCATTTGTTCCTAAAGTTTCACCTGCATCTATGGCAAGCATCCTCAGAGGTAGTGAGGTCTATTGGAACTAGGAAAGTGGGTTTATATATCTGTGGAATGACCAGGGTGGGACAAAGAACTCTTGTTTGTTGGAGCAAGGTGTGAATGTTTCAACTGAACACCTTGATTATCATTTGATGGCCTAGTAGTGCCTGGGGCAATCTTCTGTTGAGAGGTGATTAGATGTGCCTAATTGTTTCCCCTCTGTTGTTTTGCTGTTGTAATTTTGGAGTTTTTTAATACTGGTAGCCAGATTTTGTTCATTTTCATGGTTTCCTCCTTTCTGTTGGAATTGTCCACATGTTTGTGGATTTCTTTTTTTAAAAAAACCTTTAACCTTTAAAAAATGGCTATGTCTACCTAGAGATGAGGGTAGTTGAACTATAATTCTAAAAATTAGCAATAATCCAAAGACAATAGGATTGAGCTAATAGTATTTTATCTAACTAATAAGAAAAACTTTAAAATATTTTTTATTTGCAGGATGTTTCAAAAAGATGGACCCAATTTAAATTCACTATTTCTCTGCAACTATGAACTTCCTATGAGTGAAACTCATACCACTTGTAAAAGTGGGGCATGGAGTTTCAAATGGTCACTGCTAGGTGCCTCTCCTTGCACACCAATAGCACTGAGCCTCAGTCATTTGCAAGATAGTGACCCCTCAACCAGGCCCGTAGCCAGGATTTTGATTCGGGGGGGGGGGGCTGTGTTTGATTTGGGGGGGGCTGAGTCTGAGTGAAAGAGGGTCTACCCTAGCAAACCTTTTGTATCGTTACCCCAATACCCCCATGCATATGAGATATATTGAGCATGGTGATCAGATCATGATATCAATAAACATAACAGTTTAAATAATATACCAGTAAGGCCTTTTCGCAGACCACCATGAGAATTTCGGGGGGGGGGGGGGCTGAAGCCCCCAAAGTGCCCCCCCCCGCCCCCCGGCTACATGCCTGCCCTCAACATAAGGTTTAATGAGATAGTCTCCAATTGCAAAGTCATTTTGAGATCTTTATTTCTGGCTCAAAATAATAAGTAAAACTTGAGAGCTTGAGAACTCTAACCATTTGTAACTTTTTTTTGTCATTGCAACCTGTTGCCTTTGTGAAATATACTGCTTTGAATTTGAGTTCATCATTTTTAAACGTTTTGTATATTGTACAAAGTTTTCTGAACTTACCCCATGCTTCTGAATGGCAACATTTGTCAGATGCACGAACATATTGTCTAATTCACTTGTACTCGGTGTATATTTTACTGTGCAGAATCGACAAAAACCAAGTTTATACCTTAAATTTTAAAAAAGGCAGATTTTAATTCATCCATAATTTAAAGAAAGCCTACTCTGTGGTAGTACTCCATTTATGTATCTGAGGGAAGTCCACCTTGCAGTTATTTTACCTTTGTTTTTGGTTGATCTCACATCAGCTTTACTTTAATTTTTGTTTTGTTTTTTTCCCTTTTAGTTTTTTCTATATTGTTTAATGGTTGCTCTTTTGCCTTGATTTATTTTGTGAATGTTTTAGCACCGTAATCTATTGTGTGTGCTTTTATCCAAGAAACAGATATGATCTTGAAACAGTTAGTTATGCCGTCAATAAAAGAAGGTGGCTCAAAGTCATCACAATGTCTCAGATACATCTTCCAAATGGTGTAACCATTTCAAAATTCGACAACTAATATTTATTAAGATTTCATCACAGCCTGGAAGTAAAAAAAGTTACAAGTTTTATGCCATTCTCTTATTAATCCTAAATCTTTCCCCATCTAAAAACAACAACAGAAAATAATGGAAAAATAAGCGCAAAACATAATGCGATAAGTCACAATTTTTCATCATCATGATGAGTAACGAAAATGGGTTGCATTTTAAATACTGTATGAGCTACTATTTAAAGAGTAACTTTCTAAATTCTTGATTTTATATCCTTCTTTTATAATGACAAATAGCAATATTTAAGGACTGTATACACTGGAAATGCTCAAATATACACAACATATATAGGTTGACGACTTCATCATGCAAAACTGTTAAAAGTTCAATTATTAGGATAAAAGTGTATTTGGATGGAGCTTATCACACAACGTAGTATCTTTCCTGTCAAGGCTGAAACATTATTGGATCATCTCTTTTCAGTGATGGGAAAACATATCAATTAATTATTTTTGTTGTTGTTGTTCTGTCACTCTTTCTTGAGTGATAATATTTGAACCACTGCATCCCTGGTGTTGCAAAACAGAAAAAGGTGCCGTGAGCATGCGCAAATGTATAAAGGAAACACAGGGAGAATGCAAGGCTCAATCAACACAGTGCCATCGTTGTGAAATTGCAGTGAGATGTGGAAATTATCAGTTTAATAACAATATATTTCCCTTTACTTAAATAACACAATTGCAACAAAACAACAAGTTAGTGTGATACAGTCCTGAAAGAGAGCTGAAGAGCCATAGCTACATCTCTACAGATATGTGTCACAACATTATTCCCCAAGCCTAACTAATCAGAAGGACACCTACCCCAGCAATACAGAAATTTCTATACTGACAAGAGTGTGGAAGGATGAGTAGAGACATGTTTAGTTCTCTTTCTGTAGCTGAATGCATCTCTGATCACCCCCCAACTGTCCATCAATAAGGAAATTTCAGGGCTGCGCTTCTCAAAATTGTAGGTTTGGTGTAGACTTTTGGTTATTATATTACACAAAAACTGTATGTGTGAATTGTGGTGGCATAAAGCAGACTTACAACATCTTACATACTGAATAGGATGCCAGCCATTATATGAAAAATGTATTCAAAACATAAAGCAACACATCTAGCTATTAAAAAACATTTACAGGATAAGAGCAGTAAAAAAGACAAAATCACATTTAAAAAAAACCTTCTTTCAGAGTTTTTTTTTTAAAATGCCATGGAATAAAAAACACTGGAGAGCAAATATTGCAGATTCTTACCCTTTAAAATGTCTGACAAATAATAATAATAATACTTCATTTATATCCCGCCACAATCTCCCCAAGGGGACTCAGGGCGGCTTACATGAGGCCAAGCCCAACAATACAGCAATGCAAAGAAGCAGCATACAACAACAATCTATATAAATAAAAAATGTAATGTTCGTTTGTGGGATTAACATAACTCAAAAACCACTGGACAAATTGACACGAAATTTGAAAACAATACACCTAACAGTCCAATGAGTGTCCATCCACCCTAAACACACACACATACACACACAAAACCCCAGCGGAACAGACTTAAAAACTCAAAAAATACACCATATATACCAGGGGTCCTCAAACTTTTTAAATAGAGGGCCAAGTCCCTCAAACTGTTGGAGGGCCGGATTGTAATTTGAAAAAAAAAACATGAATGAATTCCTATGCACACTGCACATATCTTATTTGTAATGCAAAAAATATTTTAAAACAATACAATAATTAAAATGAAGAACAATTTTAACAAATATAAGCTTATTAGTATTTCAGTGGGAAGTGTGGGCCTGCTTTTGGCTGGTGAGATAGGATTGTTGTTGTTGTTGTTGTTGTTGTTGTTGTTGTGTGCTCTCAAGTCGTTTCAGACTTAGGTTGACCAAGAGCGAGGGCCGGGTAAATGACCTTGGAGGGCTGTATCTGGCCCTCAGGCCATAGTTTGAGGACCCCTGATATATACATATACTCATACACTCATATACATATACGCATGCACACATTCATACATACACATATATATATGCACAAACACACACAAATATACACATACACACACATATATACATACACACATATATACATATACACATGCATACACACATATACACACAAATATTCTTATAGACAAGCACGCACATATACACAATATGCATGTACACATATAAACACACAAATAGACAAATATATACAGACATATATACACACACATATATACACCCACACATGAACACATTTATACACACACAAAATACATATACACAGACTGGGCCACAGCAACGTGTGGCAGGGGACAGCTAGTAAAATATAAAAATAAGATACAAAAAACAATATAAATAAACACATCAAACAATGTAAAATCACAATAATTTAAACACAGAAAATAAATCACAATGGGCAGGGCCAGTAGCAAGGATTAAAAGTTTAAAAAAGACTGGGTGAGAAAGCAATGTAATGTATCTGGAGAGGGTATCAAAGGGATGATAGTAGGGTTTAATTGCACTAGTAGGTAGAAAAAAAGTGCTTCTGAGGGCATTTTATGCAGGATTTGGGGTCAGGTCAGGGGTTATTGCTCAGTTAATATATATATATATATATATATATATATATATATATATATATATATATATATATAAATATAAAACAGAAACTGACTGTTTTTAAAGATTTGCCCCAGACTGTGTGTTTACAAACAAGAACTTTTAGAAACAATTTTAGAGAGTATCAAATTAATTTCCAAACGTAATTGATATCTGGGTTGTAATTGATATCTACATCCTTCCAGCTTGCTGACATGCAAAACATACATGCAAATTGAAATGCAACTTCTAATTGCTAAGGATAAAAACCACTCTCCATCCATATTTACTACCTGAAAGGGGCATTATCGGAAAAGATAAGTAACTTACATATAGCACCGCAAAGGACGGTAAGTTGACACTAAGACATACAGCCGCAGGTCAAATTTCTTTCCCCCAATCAGTAGTGGATTGTTGATATAGAGAGAAATCACATACGCCTCTTTAGAAGACTGAGACACAAACCTAAAGAAATATATATCCTGTTTATCAAATTGTGCTATCAAACAATCATCTCCATTCAGAATTAAACACCAATGATACTACTTCATTACAGTCAATAGTAGGGAAGCTTTTGGAGTCTGAGTGCCACATTTGGTTGAGTGCAACATTTCCCACAACAGCATGACAACAGTGAGTTGCAGCTAAAACAGCCGTCTGTATCTCCCAATCCCTCTCCCTACATTCTGTGATGTGGCAGGATTGTGGACCCCTTCCCCCAGCACTAACTGCTGCTCTGAACAGAGTGAAGAGAGAGGGGACCAGGGGTCAATTCCATCTTGTCTCCTGTGCTATGCTAATAATATAATACAGGGTGCGGCAGCATAACTTCCTTTTTTAAAATGCGCGCTATTCAGTTGGTTGAAGACATAGCAGAGCGTTAGTGGTCTCGTTTGAGAGGCAAGAGTATAAAGTTTTGTCCTGACACAGTTCAGTCGCCATCATGCGTTGGAACAGTGAGGAGCGTGCTTTTGCCGTTGAGTCCTACTTTTCGAGCGGATGTTCTGTGATCGCAACCCAGTGCGCCTTTTGGAATTGCTTTAATTTAGCCCCATTGGCCCCTGTCCCGGACCGGAAATCAATTGTGACGTGGGTCACTACATTCAGACAACTGCAAGTGTGACAAGACGAAGAACTGGAGTCCCTCGGCCCATTAGATCACCTGAGAACATTGAGGAAGTGAGAGCTTCAATGTTGCGATCACTACGGCGTTCTGCGCGCAAACATGCGTCTGCCCTTGGACTTTCCGATCGTTCTGTGAGGAGAATTCTTCATGATGATCTCCATTTCCATCCTTACAAGATGGCGATTGTGCAGGAACTTTCTGAATGTGACTTCAATTCTTGGAGGAATGCGTGTGAGGTTCTTCTCGAAGTCGTTCCTGAGGATGCTATTGTTTTTTTTAGTGATGAAGCCCATTTTCATTTGTGTGGATCCGTCAACAAACAAAACATGCGCTACTGGGCTGACAACAATCCTCGAGAATTGCAGTTTAACCCACTGCACCACCGAGGGCTCCTTCTTTCAATGATTATTTGGTAAGAATTATTACTTAGTTAGATTATTTGGTAAGAATAAGATGCATTATTAGAAATTCATGTCACTAAGATGAGATAACTATCATTATATATAACATAGTAAATCCTGTAAGGCCCAATCCTTTTATTATCTAAGTGCCTGTCCAGCTGACGCACATGTAAATGTCTCTATAACTTCAGCTAGTAACATTTGTAAGAACAGTTATGAACAACTATTTGAATCTATATAAATAAAAATGTAATGTTCGTTATTGGGATTAACATAATTCAAGAACCACTGGACGAATTGACAGCAAATTTGGACACGATTCACCTATCAGGCCAACGAGTGACCATCACTCATAAAAACACTGAAATACACTGCAGAAGAAACTTTAAAAGCCCAAAAAAAAAAAATACATTACAATGCATATGCAAACACACGTATATACACATATACACAAATGTATAGACACATACACACACACAAAGCACATATACACAGCAATGTGTGGCAGGAGACAGCTAGTAACATTTAAAAATAGACTTTTTACTTGCATATCCCAAATTTATTCAAACACGCTTGACTGCAATAAGATACCAACAAAGAAAAAAAAATTTGAAACATACGTTGATGTTTTGCTGTCTCGAGACCACTTTTTAATTTGTGAAAGTTTATTGATAAGGAATATTCCTTTTCCTTGGGCTTTTCCACAGGGCTTCATAATCCAAGTACTGGAAGGATTTTTCCGGAATTCTTCCACAAATAAATTGTAATCAGCTGGGAGCATGAAAGTAACAGGGACAAAATCTAAAAAGAACCAAAGACAACCCAGAGTTAAGAGTAGCTGGAAAAGGGGGTCCCAGGAACTGAGGTGCACCCCTTTCAAAGCACAGCAACTGGAAAATAGATGCCAGAGTTATATGTGCGTATATGTGCAGGACAAGAAAAACCCCAAAGGAAATAGAACTGCATGACTATGAGCCAACCTAACAGATAGGAAAGTAGTACCGTTATGTTGTTAAAGGGACATTTACTCTCTGGGTAGGTTTCCAGGCCCTTCTATATCCTTATAGAATCATAGAATCATAGAATCAAAGAGTTGGAAGAGACCTCATGGGCCATCCAGTCCAACCCCCTGCCAAGAAGCAGGAATATTGCATTCAAATCACCCCTGACAGATGGCCATCCAGCCTCTGTTTAAAAGCTTCCCAAGAAGAAGCCTCCACCACACTCCGGGCAGAGAGTTCCACTGCTGAACGGCTCTCACAGTCAGGAAGTTCTTCCTCATGTTCAGATGGAATCTCCTCTCTTGTAGTTTGAAGCCATTATTCCGCGTCCTAGTCTCCAGGGAAGCAGAGAACAAGCTTGCTCCCTCCTCCCTGTGGCTTCCTCTCACATATTTATACATGGCTATCATATCTCCTCTCAGCCTTCTCTTCTTCAGGCTAAACATGCCCAGCTCCTTAAGCCGCTCCTCATAGGGCTTGTTCTCCAGACCTTTGATCATTTTAGTTGCCTCCTCTGGACACATTCCAGCTTGTCAATATCTCTCTTGAATTGTGGTGCCCAGAATTGGACACAATATTCCAGGTGTGGTCTAACCAAAGCAGAATAGAGGGGTAGCATTACTTTCCTAGATCTAGACACTATGCTCCTATTAATGCAGGCCAAAATCCCATTGGCTTTTTTTGCCACCACGTTGTTGGCTCATGTTTAACTTGTTGTCCATGAAGACTCCAAGATCTTTTTCACACGTACTGCTCTCGAGCCAGGCATCCCCCATTCTATATCTTTGCATTTCGTTTTTCCTGCCGAAGTGGAGTATCTTGCATTTGTCACTGTTGAACTTCATTTTGTTAGTTTTGACCCATCTCTCTAACATAAGCTTACATAAGGCCAAGCCCAAACAACAATTTACAATAATGTAAAACCGAAAACACAAACCAAAAATGCAAACAATAAACAACAACAACATAATTACATAAAACATGTGAATACATAGCAATATAAAATTACAATAGGCACAATCACAATGACAATGGGTGGGCTACATGTAATGATGAAAAGAGAAACTGATTAAAACTAATTAAAAACTCAGGCAAGATAAAGGAGAAACAGATTATTTGCAGAGGAGGACTCATTATAGTGGGGATTGTGGAATGATGAAATGTTGATGCTAAGCAATAGTATGAGATTGTATACCTACTCATCAAAGGCCAGGTTTTAAGGTTCTTTTAAAATGTTTATAGGGTAGGAGCTTTCCTAATCTCTCCAGGTAGTGAGTTCCAGAGTCAGGGGGCCATAGAGGAAAAAGCTCTCTCCCTTGTACTTACCAGGCGAGCTTGTGAAATTGGCAGGGGCGAAAGAAGGGCCTCCCCGGAAGAACGGAGGGTCCGAGTTGGTTCATGGAGGGAGATACGGTCACGAAGGTAGGCGGGTCCCAAACCATTCAAGGCTTTATAGGTGATAACCTGCACCTTGAATTGGGACCGGAAAATAAATGGCAGCCAGTGGAGCTCCTTAAACAGGGGGGTTGACCGCTCCCTGTAAGTCGCCCCAGTTATTAATCTGGCTGCTGAACATTGGACAAGTTGTAGTTTCCGGGCCACCTTCAAGGGTGTAGTGTTGTAATTGTAGTGTTATGATTTTTGATGTAATAGCTTGAGAAGGGAAATGGATGAGTAAATTGCAAAATTCAGTGACAATACAGAGATTCAAAATATCGAATACTCAACATCATGCACATTGCAGTGAGCTGTAAAATGAAAACATTTAAGTATTTAAGTATACACAGAGGTATTTCTAATTGACTATATCAACTCACCTAAATAAAGGTATTTTCCGTTTTCATCTTTCTCTGCAAGAGGACTACCTTCTTTTTCTAATTCTTTCCTATACCTCTTTATATTTTTTACCATTAGGTCCTTTCGAGTGAGTTCATAATGGTTTGGGAAATGGTTGACAATCTGGTCATCGGAGAGGCGGTAACCAGTTTCCACACTGAAGACATTTCGAATCGTTTGCACACTCATCCTGCAAAAATAAAACAGTTAGTGACTCCCCATGAAAAGACTGCATTTGCAATTTAACTACAAACAGATCTCACCAGAATAAAATAATACAAAATGGATTATAATATGCTCTATATGGGTCTTCCTTCAAAGATATTGGGAAGCTTTAACTGGTCTAAAACACAATGCCAAAGAAACACAGAGGGGTGTGTGTGTGTGTGATCAGGACAATTGAAGATGAATGTACATATGATGCTATTGGAAAAATAACTGTATACAAAATAAAAGAATTCTTAACCAAAAACAACCAAAGTCATTAACAGAGTAACTAAGCACATGTAGTGTACACAGTGAACAATTACCTCATGAAACAAAATGTAAAGTACAGGTAGTCCCCAAGTTACGAATAAGGTTTGTTCTAAAGTTGAATTGTGTGTAAGTCAGTACTGGTAGGGACGGCCCCAGGTAATTTTCAAGTGTAAGCAAACAGAATTTTGGTGCCCCCCAACCAATCACTGAAAAAAAATATATATATATATATATATATAGAGAGAGAGAGAGAGAGAGAGAGAGAGAGAGAGAGAGAGAGAGGCTCTCCAGGTATTTTGGACTTCCTACTGGCTGTTTGGAATTGTGGAAGTTGAAGTCCAAAACACATGGAGGGCCCAAGTTGGCCCATGCCATAATATATATATATATATATATATATATATATATATATATATATATATATCTTCTCATTTGAGGCATGAAAAGGGCCTTGGTGGCGGCAGCTTTCCCCTCCGCTGCTCCGTGCTCCTTCCTTGCCAGTCTGGGTGCCAGGCTTGGGAGACCAGTCTGGCGAGGAAGGGACCCTTTAAGGCACGGAGCGTCAGAGGGGGCAAGGAGGAGGCCATTGTTGAAGAGGGCCTCGGCAAGGAGCACAGAGCAGCGGAGGGGTAAGGGGGAAGCTGCTGCTGCCGCTGAGGCCCTCTTTGGCAGTAGCCTCCTCCTCCTCCAAAGGCCTAACTGGCCCCCTCCTTCCCCGCTGCCTCCTCCGCCTCCTTGGGGTGGTAGCGCCTCACCTTCACCTCAGGAGGAGAAAGCGCCACTGTGGCTGGGAGACATGATCCAGAGTGCCCCTGGGCAAAATGAAGTATACTGCAAATGCTTACTCTGCCTAATGGTTGAGCCGTCACTGAGTACAGGTACATTTTTAAGTGTAACTGCATTTTTAATCACCACAACTATCACCATCATCATCCCATCTCAAGAAATAAACTTCTAAGTATTCCATAATATTCCATAGAAGCAAAGACCACCGGCATTGAAGCGATGGTCCTCCGCAATCAACTCCGCTGGACTGGCCACGTTGTCCGGATGCCCGACCACCGTCTCCCAAAGCAGTTGCTCTACTCTGAACTCAAGAACGGAAAATGGAATGTTGGAGGACAGGAAAAGAGTTTTAAAGTTACACTTACTCCACCGAGCTCAAAGAAAACTGGCTAAGATTATTTCATAGAAGGTATTTAACACCAGTCCAGATATCAAAATTCAACAGAAGTAGGTCAGAAGGGAAATGCTGGAAATGTGGTAAACATAGAGGAGACGTTATCCACATGTGGTGGAAATGCAAGAGAATAAAAACTTTCTGGCTCCAGATCTACAATAAAATTCAATCAATGCTACAAATCAAATTTGACTTTAAACCGGAATACTTTTTATTAGGCATAAGAGACTTTGACATGGACAACAATACTAATAAGATTTTCTTCTACCTAGTAACAGCAGCGAGAATTAAATTAGCTCAGTTTTGGAAAGTTAAAGAAATACCTACGATAGAACAGTGGCTATTAAAAATATTAGACATCATGAATATGGACTTACTTACACAGAGTATGTTGTATAATAAAAATAAAATAAAAGAAACAAACTGGGACAATTTTTTAAACTTTCTGGAATTGGAAAACAAGGAAATAAACATTCTGAGGAAGTAACCAATGGGAAAAAGTAAAGCTATAAAGGACCGACGACCCGAAGACAAGAAGAAAGGAAAGACCTACAGTCTAGAAACCAAGTTTTAAGGAAATGTTTTGATCCTGGGAGACCTGGAAGTTTATTTTCTTCTTCGTCCCAGACCTCCCCCCCCCCATGTATCCTCCCCCAAACCTACTTCCTCCTCCCATTCCTCCTTTTGCTTATTTTTTTTCTCTTTTTTAAATTCTCTTTTCTCGTTTTCTACTCTGCCTCACAATGTTCCCCCACTTTCAATGTAACCATACATTTTTAACTGCAACACTTAAAACGTCTTTCCTATCACGCTCCTCTCTTGCAAGCATATATTCCAAATAAAAACAATTTTTAAAAAAAGAGTTTTAAAGATGGCTCAAAGCCAACCTTAAAAACTCTGGCATAGACACTGAGAACTGGGAAGCCCTGGCCCTTGAGCGCTCCAGCTGGAGGTCAGCTGTGACCAGCAGTGCTGCAGAATTTGAAGAGGCACGAATGGAGGGTGAAAGAGAGAAACATGCCAAGAGGAAGGTGTGTCAAGCCAACTCTGACCGAGACCGCCTTCCACCTGGAAACCAATGCCTTCACTGTGGGAGAAGATGCAGGTCAAGAATAGGGCTCCACAGTCACCTACGGAGCTACAAGAACACTGATCCTGGAAGACTATCCTACTCATCCAACGAGGGATCGCCTAAGTAAGTATAATATAAAAAATGCTGCTTACCAGTAGAAGTTCCAGTCTTCATTTTCTGAAACTTGAACCCATCCTCTTTTTTCAAAGTTATTGATTAATACAGATTTCTCAATGTCGGTCACCCATTTTACTTTTCCTGCCATTATCCTAAAAAGAACAAATTTAGCAGCATTATTCACTTTCAGTTTTAGAAATCATTTTAATGTAAAATGTAATGTACACAGAAGATACAGAGTGATATGAAAACTGTCCAAACTATATTGCATTTAAAACACAGGAAGAGAATTACGTATTTTGAAAGGTAATCTAAGGCTTCACTCTGTACCTCAGAGTACACCAATGTGCCATTCTCTCTTTATAGAGACCTTTCATTTTCGTTTGTGGGATTAACAGAACTCAAAAACCACTGGATGAATTGACACCAAATTTGGACACAAGACACCTAACAACCCAATGTATGTCCTTCAATCAAAAATTTTTGATTTTGTCATTTGGGAGTTGGTCGCTGGGATTTATAGTTCACCTACCACCAAAGAGCATTCTGAACCCCACCAACGATGGAATTGAACCAAACTTGGCACACAGTTCTCCCATGACCAACAGAAAATACTGGAAGGGTTTGGTGGGCAGTGTCCTTTAGTTTTGGAGTTGTAGTTCACCTACATCCAGAGAGCACTGTGGACTCAAACAATGATGGATCTGGACCAAACTCTACATGAATACTCAATATGCCCAAATGTGAACACTGGTGGAGTTTGGGGAAAATAGAATCTTGACATTTGGGAGTTGTAGTTGCTGGAATTTGTAGTTTACCTACAATCACAGAGCACCGGGATTGTGGCGCAGCTGGCTGAGTGTCAGCTGCATTAAGATCACTCTGACCAAAAGGTCATGAGTTCGAAGCCAGCCCGGGTTGGAGTGGGTTTCCAACCAATTGTGTGTAGCCTGTTGTCGACCTTTGCAACCCGAAAGACAGTTGCATCTGTCAAGTAGGAAAATAGGTACCACCTTAAAGTGTGGGGAGGCTAAATTAACTGATTTATGAGGCCATAAAGAAGACTCCCGCAAAGCATTCCAGCGGGGAAGCATGCGGGGAATGCGGAAGTGCTTCATCAGCGTCGCAGATGGATGATGAAAGCAACAGCTCCCCTAGTGGCCAGAAAAACTTTAAATATTGCCTCTGTGTATGTCTGTATATGTTTTTATGTCAAAAATTGGCATTGAATGTTTGCCATATATGTGTACACTGTAATCCGCCCTGAGTCCCGTGCGGGGTGAGAAGGGCGGAATATAAAAGCTGTAAATAAATAAATAAATAATAAATTCTGAACCCCACCAATGATTGAATTGGGCCAAACTTCCCACACAGAAACCCCATGATCACCAGAGTGGACCACAGCAACGCGTGGCAGGGGACGGCTAGTATGGTATAAAGTAAGAAATACTTAACAGATTGGTTAGAGAGAATCTGAGAGGTTGGAACGTACCCTGACGGACCATTCTAGGAGGAACAATGTTCATTCCAGGAGCAACAATCCACCCACAAATGGGGAAATTCCCACGTGCCAGTCAATTAGGCAGCAAAGTTCTTTCTGAATGGATACATTATGACTCCTTCATTTCCCTGACAGTTTAATTATCCAGCCCTGACTTAACGACCTATGCAATAAAGCTAAAACTCATCTGAAAATAAACTTGACTGAACCATATCACTTTGTGGAGAGAAGCAGGTTGCTCCTCCTGCTATTCCAGAACTCATGGTAAAATTCAATTTCTTGTTCTTGGTATAGCATATAAAAGTGAGCCCGCAAATGGGACTTGACCAAGGTCCTATCCCTGGGTGGGAATATGATATACTTTACAAAACTACCAGTTGAACCACCATTCAGCCGAATCTAATCTGTGCTGATTTTTATCTATCCAACCTAGGGCCTTTCCACATAGCCATATAACCCAGAATATAAAGGCAGAAAATCCCAGAATATCTGCTTTCGACTGGGTTATCTGAGTCCACGCTGCCATATATCCTAGTTCAAAGTAGAAAATGTTGGATTTTGTTCAGCTGTGTAAAAGAGGCCTTAGAAAGCTTAATGAAAGTGTCTGGTTTCTTTCAACCTGCTGCATTACATAAGTCTAATAATAATAATAATAATAATAATAATACTTTATTTATACCCCGCCACCATCTCCCCAAGGGGACTCGGAGTGGCTTACATGAGGCCAAGCCCGACAACACATCAATAAAACAAAAAGCAATAAGCAAATAAAATAATACAATTAATATAAATCACATATAAACAATAACATGCAAAGATTTTAATACCTATAGGCGGGCCAAATGTAATAGTTTAAAATTTTAAAAATAAACGCTGGGCATGAACAGAGGTAGGATGTATCTGGTAAGAGGATTTCTAAAGATACCAAAACTGCACCACCCAAGTTAGTAGCCGTAGATCCCTTTGAATGCCACCACATATTCTGTGACCTTTTTGTGAAAGTCATAAGACAGACACGTGCAAGCCTTGATCTATCTTGCAATCTCTGTTTTAAGTGTTGTAGTTCAGCATGATGGTAACGTTACTACTACTGGTAGAAGGGAGAAGAAGTCTGCGCAGGAGTTGGAGGAGGGACAACACAGAAAGCGCATTAGGGAGATAATTATGGCCCCAAGTGATTCTGAGACGTTTGAGGGCTTCTCCGATTGTGAAATGGGGGATGGGGAGGAGAGCAGGGGTGTAAAGAGGGTTACTCGTGATTCGGAGTCCGATGAGGAGCTTCAGAGGAAGCGCATCCAGGAAATACTTACTGTCCCGACAGAGGACGAGGATTTCATGGGGTTTGAAAGGAGTGATGGGTCTGGGAGCGATATGGGAGAGGAGGATGGGTTGGATTGGACCCGTGTTCAACAGATAAGGGACATTTGTAACCAACCCACCTCCAGTGATGAATTTGAGGGGTTCACAGGGGATTGGCAACCGGGAAGCACTTGGCAAGATCTAAGTCTTGGCAGACGCTGGCAAAGGTGGAGAGATGGGCGCTCGGGTTCAGCTGCGGGGATGGAGGCAGCTGAGAGCGATGAGGAAAGGGAGGGTAGCTCATAATCCTCTAATGAGGAGCTGTAGGATAAAACTGGGTTCTAAATGTATGGCTCTTTGCAGGAGGCAAAGTGTCTTTATGGGACATAAATCTTTGTTACTGCCAACTCTTGAGCTTGGGTCCTTGGACTACAGATGCCTGTGATTCCTGCGTTCCAGTGTTTACATTACTCGGCTTGACCATGGACCAGTTTGATCAACATTTTTGGGCTTTTGCACTGAAAACATTGCTAACTTCTTGTGTGAACTTTGCATCATCTTGGGACTTCGTTTTCCTTTTTCTGTGACTGCATTTTTGAACTGTGTGTATTTTGAACTTTCAGATTGCTGAACTTTGTGTTTAACCCGGATTAAACAGCGTTATAATCCGGGTTATATTTTTGTTGCTGGTATCGCTTTGTTTTTGATGCCAAATTGCTGCTCTGACTCTCTGCACTGAAATTAAGTGCTTTAAAAGACTATTTTTGTATAATAAAGCTGTGTTTGAACTCTTTATCTTGTGTTTGGCTCTACTTAAGGCTTCTGGGTCACGACATTGAAGGTTCACTGTCCCATTTCCATGGATAAAAAGGGATGAATAAAGGCTTAGGATGTCTAGTTTGTGAAGTTCCTTTCAAGTACAGCTCTCTTTACATCTTTTATGCTACCTACATTCTAATGGATGGATTAGTTAATCACAAAGTTGGTAAATAAACTGCTTCCTAAGTTTATTTCCTAATGACACATTTTGGTAGAAATCTGAGAGTCTGTCTTGCTCATATTTTGAACCAGGCATCCTCAAATTATGGCCCTCCAGCTGTTTGGGCCTTCAACTCCTAGAATTCCTGACAATTGAACAAGCTTGTTAGGACTTCTGGGAGTTAGAGGACCGCAGTTTGAGGATGCCTGTTTTAAACAAACTCAGATTTACAGACAGAGCTGCCAACTCAAATAAACTGTCGTTGATATAACTGAAGTTAGAAAAGCCACCTTTGAAGAGAACATTCTCAAGGAAGCATCCCTGATTGCCTGAAGTGACGATCCCATAAGCCTATTTAACATCAAATTTGATGTTGAAAACCTAGATGTTATTGTTGCACCCCCTAAAAATCTCTTTACATATAGATATGCTGATAGTGGAACCCAAGCAAACTTAAAATACAGTGGTGTTTCAATGTATCTTGGTCTCCAACCCCTTTGAAACCAATGCTATAAAAATGTAATCCATATCTCATTTCAACCTGTTCCAATTGAACCATTTTAGATCTACAGTCTTTCTATATAACTTTTGCACTTATTTCCTTTTGGAAGCCAAGATGGCTTCCTAATTTGTGCATAAAACATTGCAGATCTAAGGATTTTCTTTCAAGGTCCATATAATTAGATCCAACCATTTTGGGTTGGGATGAAATACTGGACCGTGTCTTAGCAGATCTGGCAATTTTGGTAACTTCAATGGCGGACTTATTGATAAAGGAAATCAGGGACACCTGGGCCAGTGTGCCACTATCAATACCACCAACACTTTCGGCTACCATTTTAACTCTGTTCTCAAACAAATTAGCATTATTTCATAATGAACCCTGTTCCCCATTGTCTGTTGATGAGGAATCATGAGTCCCCAAAGATCTTTTGAGGAACATCTCCCTCAAGGTGCTGAAAGTATTGCTAATATTACGAGGGGTATTTTTAAAGTAAGGTCCGTTTTCTTGTAGACACTAGTAGTTCACGCGCATACCGCAACGAGCGCGTGCGTCGTGTACCGGCATGCCTTGGGAACAACTGTGCTCAGTTTCCGCTCTGTAGCTAACCTGTACGGTTCTGTTCTGTGCTTTAAAAATGTTTAAGACTATCAACTCACCCTCCGCATGTGAGGTTCGCTCAGTGATATGGTTTTTGTCAGCAAGGAACCTGCCTGCTGCAGAAATTCATCGACAGATTTGTGAAGTGTACGGTGATAATGTTATGAGTGAAAGCAAAGTGCGTAAGTGGGTATGACAATTCAAAGATGGCTGTGACAACATCGATGATGAGGACCGCTCCGGTCGCCCTTCTTTGATTACAGACGATTTGGTTATCGGAGCAGGCGGCAAGTTTTTATGAAGAGGGTATTTTAAAATTGGTTCAGAGGTATGATAAGTGTTTGAACAAACTTGGCAACTATGTCGAAAAATAGAGTGAAGTATGTACTTTCTGAAAATAAATTTACTTTTTTGAAATAAACTTTCGTTGTGTACTTATGTTCCAATGGACCTTACTTAAAAAATACCCCTCGTAGAATGACAATCATCTTGGCCAATAACATTAACCTGCAGACTTTAAAGATGATAAATGATCGATCTTATGAAATGTTCTATCTCTAATTTAATTTGTCCTTCTCTTCTCCTGAAAAGCTGCATTGAGTCTCCTTGTGGAGAGAAAATGTGGAGTAGAAAGAAACATAACAACAACAACAATAATAATAACAACTTTATTTTTATACCCTGCCAACCATCTCCCCTAGGGGACTTGGGGCGGCTTACAAGGGACACGTCCAAGATTACAATTAAAACACACATGTAAAACACTTAAACCAATTAAAACATCAGCTAAAACAATAAAAGACCAGACAACCCACTATATGACAAAGACTTCTGCCCTTAAACAAGCCAGTTGGCTCCAAATGTAATTCATTAAGAAGCTCTAACATTCTAGAGTTTGCAGCATTATTTCCATATTCTTTAAAGCTTTGCCAGTTGAACTCACCTTCAACAAAATATTCTCCAGGTATGGACACAGTTGCATCCCCTTTTGCCTGAGGTATGCAACCAGAGGACTCAATACCTTCTTGGTCAATACCTTTGGCACAGACTCCAGGCCTTGAACTGGTAATGTTCAGTTTTGTATTGGAAACTCAAGTATTTCCTATCCATTGGAGCTGTGAAGACATGAAAAGTACTTTTTTAGACATCTACAGGCACCATGAGATCTCCAATTCTTAAATTCTCTTTTACTGTCTGCAAAGATTCCTTCCTGAATCTCAGGTACCCCACAAAGCCACCCAAGATTCAGACCTGGATGAAAACCTCTGTTGCTTTTGGACACAACAAAGAAAACTCCAATTTCCAATGGATGACTAATTTCCACTAATACTATAGAATCATAAAATCATAGAATCAAAGAGTTGGAAGAGACCTCATGGGCCATCCAGTCCAACCCCCTGCCAAGAAGCAGGAATACTGAATTTAAATCACCCCTGACAGATGGCCACCCAGCCTCTGTTTAAAAGCTTCCAAAGAAGGAGCCTCCACCACACTCCGGGGCAGAGAGTTCCACTGCTGAACGGCTCTCACAGTCAGGAAGTTCTTCCTCATGTTCAGATAGAATCTCCTCTCTTGTAGTCTGAAGCCATTGTTCTGCGTCCTAGTCTCCAGGGAAACAGAAAACAAGCTTGCTCCCTCCTCCCTGTGGCTTCCTCTCACATATTTATGCATGGCTATCATATCTCCTTTCAGCCTTCTCTTTTTCAGGCTAAACACGCCCAGCTCCTTAAGCCGCTCCTCATAGGGCTTGTTCTCCAGACCCTTGATCATTTTAGTCGCCCTCCTCTGGACACATTCCAGCTTGTCAATATCTCTCTTCAATTGTGGTGCCCAAAATTGGACACAATATTCCAGGTGTGGTCTAACCAATGCGGAATAGAGGGGTAGCATTACTTCCCTAGATCTAGAGACTATGCTCCTACTGATACAGGCCAAAATCCCATTGGCTTTTTTTGCCGCCACTTCACATTGTTGGCTCATGTTTAACTTGTTGTCCACAAGGACTCCAAGATCTTTTTCACACGTACTGCTCTCGAGCCAGGCATTGTCCCCCAGACTTATTCTTTGCCTATGTATTTTGCCATAGGAGAAGGAAGCTTTTTTGTTTCTTGCTGATTAGAATGTTGTACCTCTCAGCCACTACTTTTGGTGTGATGTTATTTCCAGCCATAAGTTCCTGTAAAGCAGCACCCTTCCCTGTACTTGTTTACCCTTGCTATCAATATTGAGATCTAACCCTTTGGGAGGCTGATTCTGCTCCTCTTCCTTTGCCCTTTCTACTTTACTTTCATATCTTTCTGAACTAAAGATGTGGTTTGGACCACAGGTTCTTAAACTGTTGGTCCTGACCCTAAATGGATCAATGTTGGAGTCATGAAAAAATTGGGAACAGTAGGTTTTGCCATCTAGTGGCTCTTTTAGACATTTACACAAGTCTGTATTGTCAAAGGCTTTCATGGCCAGAATCACTGGGTTGCTCTGAGTTTTTCAGGCTGTATAGCCAGAGGCGGCCCTAGGTAATTTTCAATGGTAAGCAAACAGTATTTTGTCGTCCCCCCCCCCCCCAACCAATCACTGATATATATTTTCTGTTCGTCGTGGGAGTTCTGTGTGCCATATTTGGTTCAATTCCATCATTGGTGGAGTTCAGAATGCTCTTTGATTGTAGGTGAACTATACATCCCAGTAACTACAACTCACATATATGTCAAGGTCTATTTTCCCCCAAGAGCGCCTCAAGAGCGCCCCTGGGCAAAATCAACTATACTGCAAATGCTTACTTTGTGTAATGGATTGAGCCACCTCTGTGTATGGCCATGCTCCATGCTACTGGAACATGGCAATACAGCCCAAAAAACTCACAGCAACCAGTTATACAAATCTGTTAGAACCAATCTGAAGTGTATACAATGGAATCTGCAGGAGATGCTTCAGTTGTACATCATAAAAAGCAAAAACAGCCTATTTAGCAAACCTTGCACACGTTGATTTATTCATAGTCAATGTTTGATTTTTATACCTATTGTATGTACCTATATACCTGGAGATACATTAAAAAATATTGGGTGAGAAAGGTTCATAGGTGGAAAAACTATAAGAAGCCCTGGTCTAAATTACTGCTGTTGTCAAAAACTGGAATCTGAAAGGTCTACCTTCATGAATGAAAAAGAAATTTCCTCTATATCAAGATCCCCAAACTAAGATCCATGAGCCAGATGTGGCCATCCATAGTCTTTTACTCGGCCTCCTCCATAAGTCTTAGACTTAGGATCACCCTAAGTCTGAAATTATGGAGCCTCCGGTGGCACAGTGGCTTAAACCGCTGAGCTGATAAAAAACATGCTGAGAAAAGGTCAAAGGTTTTAATCTGGGGAGCAGCGTGAGCTTCCGCTGTCAGCCCCAACTTCTGCCAACCTAGCAGTCCAAAAACATGCAAATGTGAGTAGATCAATAGGTACCACTTCGGCAGGAAGGTAACGGCGCTCCATGCAGTCCATCGAACCGGAGTGTGGTGGAGGCTCCTTCTTTGGAAGCTTTTAAACAGAGGCCATCTGTCAAGAGTGATTTGAATGCAATATTCCTGCTTCTTGGCAGGGGGTTGGACTGGATGGCCCATGAGGTCTCTTCCAACTCTTTGATTCTATGATGCTATGAACCTGCGACCTTTCAGTCAGCAAGCTCAACAGCTCAGCGCTTTAACCCACTGCGCCATCGGGGGCTTCAGTTAGTATATGCTGGTTAAAATGGATCTTCCTTTTATATATTGTCTTGTTCTTCCATGCTTGTTTTGTACTACAAATAAGATGAGTGCAATGTGCATGGAAATCTGCAGTCCAGACCAAGATCCTGTGGGATTTGTCAACCAGCCCTTGGCTTTAAAAAACCTGAAGACCCCTGATCTTACCTGCCCAAATGCATCTCCCTCTATGAACCATATCGGAGGTTAAGATCTTCTGGGGAGGCCCTGCTCTCGGTCCTGCCTTCTTCACAGGGACGAGAGACAGGGCTTTCTCAGTGGTGGCCCCTCAGCTCTGGAACTCCCCATCCCCAGTGCAATTAGATCAGCCCCCTCCCTCCTGGCCTTTAGAAAGAATATCAATGCATGGCTATGGGACCAAGCCTTCAAATAGTAAAGTAATGCAGTACAATCTATATAAATAAAAATGTAATGTTTGTTTGTGGGATTAACAGAACTCAAAAACCACTGGACGAATTGACACTAAATTTGGACACAAGACACCTAACAACCCAATGTATGTCCTTCACTCAAAAAAATTGATTTTGTCATTTGGGAATTGTAGTTGCTAGGATTTATAGTTCATCTACAAAGAACATTCTGAACCCCACCAACGATGGAATTGAACCAAACTTGGCACATGGGTCTCCCATGACCAACAGAAAATATTGGAAGGGTTTGGTGGGCAGTGTCCTTTGGTTTTGGAGTTGTAGTTCACCTCCATCCAGAGAGCACTGTGGACTCAAGCAATGATGGATCTGGAGCAAACTTGGAATGAATACTCAATATGCCCAAATGTGAACACTAGTGGAGTTTGGGGGAAATAGAATCTTGACATTTGGGAGTTGTAGTTACTGGGATTTATAGTTCACCTACAATCACAGAGCATTCTGAACCCCACCAACGATAGAATTGAGCCAAACCTCCCACACAGAACCCCCATGTGGGCCACAGCAATGCATGACAGGGGACAGCTAGTAAATGAATAGAAATACTGCAATTGACAAGTGGAATGGCTTTGGATTATGATTCTGGATTATGTGATTTTAATATTAATATTAAGATGTTTTAATTGTCCAAATGTTTGTTTGTGGTTCATGTTTAATATTATTTTAATGGTTGTAATGTATATGTTTATGGTTGTATATGTATATGTATAACGGTGCTCCATGCAGTCATGCCGGCCACATGACCTTGGAGGTGTCTACGGACAACGCTGGCTCTTCGGCTTAGGAATGGAGATGAGCACCACACCCCAGAGTCAGACATGACTGGACTTAATGTCAGGGGACTACCTTTACCTTTACCTAATGTATATGTCATTGTCTTTGGATATCATGCATTGGTTTGTTATGTATGTTGGCATTGAATCTTGCCATTATTTGATGTACACTGCTTTGAGTCCCCCATGGGTGAGAAAAGCGGTATATAAAAGCAAATAATAATAATAATAATAATAATAATAATAATAATAATAATCTATATATATAAAAATGCTCTGTGCATAATGAGTACCTTAAAAACAAAAGAGCCAATTAAAAACAAAAGAGCCAATGAACGAAATCACACCAAATTTGGCAACAAAACGTATCACAACACAAGGAGTGGCCATCACTCAAAAAATTATGATTTTGTCATTTGGGAGTTGTAATTGCTGGGATTTATAGTTCACCTACAATCAAAGAGCATTCTGAACTCCACCAATGATGGAATTGAACCAAACTTGGCACACAGAACTCCCATGACCAACAGAAAATACTGGAAGGGCATTGACCTTGAGTTTGGGAGTTGTAGTTCACCAACATCCAGAGAGCACTGTGGACTCAAACAAGGATGGATCTGGACCAAACTTGGCACAAGCACTCAATACGCCCAAATATGAACACAGATGGAGTTCGGGGGGAAATAGATCTTGACATTTGGGAGTTGTAGTCACTGGGATTCACAGTTCACCTACAATCAAAGAGCATTCTGAACCCCACGAACGACAGAATCGGGGCAAACTTCCCACACAGAACCCCCATGACCAACAGAAAATACTTAAGGCCATCTAATCCAACTCCCTTCATCAGGGCAAGAAAACGTAATCAAAGTCCTCCTGACAAAGAGCCATCCAGCCATAGATATAGATAGACATATATCATTCACACACACACAGATATAGTATCACAGATTTGAAAGGGACCCCTAAAGAAGGACAATGATATGTTGCATGTTCCAGGGTGGGCAAACCAGACACTCTCCATATCAACACTGACAAAGAAACAGCAAGAAATACTGTTTACCCACAAGCATAAAGAAATTACTTATATTAGAAACTAACACTTTCTCATTACTTTATTTCCCAGATCAACAGACTGGGCCACAGCAACCCGTGGCAGGGGACAGCTAGTAAATAATAAATCTATCTTCTCTTCTATCTAATCCCTCCCCATTCAAAGTAGGCAGAACTTGCATCCTCTCCTGACTCTCCACCTGCTCCAGAGCTCCCATATAGCTCTCCTCCATGGAATGGAAAATAGGTCGGTTGTTCCTAAATGTCTGGGCTACTCATGCCAAATATATATTCCCTGCAGCAAAGGAAAACCAGACGGAGAGCCCCTCCCTTGGAAAAATAAACCTCACCTGCATTGTTTCCTCCAGGAGGCGCCCCCTCCCTTCCTGAAGAGGCTGCTTCCGGAGCCGGTTGCTAGGAGACCGGAGGACGCTGCGCGTGCGGAGCGGAAGCCCGGCTCTCGCGAGAGCCCCGCCCCAGCCGCGAGCGCTGTTACAATGATTGGTCACCCCTGATTGAGCTCTCGCGTGGAAAGGAGAGCTGAAATTCCCAGAGTTGTAGAGTTGGAAGAGACCTCATGGGTCATCCAGTCCAATCCCCTGCCAAGAAGCAGGAAAATGCATTCAAAGCAGATGGCCATCCAGTCTCTGGATTGTTGTAGGTTTTTTAAGGCTATATGGCCATGTTCTAGAGGCATTCTCTCCTGACGTTTCGCCTGCATCTATGCCAAGCATCCACAGAGGTAGTGAGGTCTGTTGGAACTAGAATCAAAGAGTTGGAAGAGACCTCATGGGCCATCCAGTCCAATCCCCTGCCAAGAAGCAGGAAAATGCATTCAAAGCACCCCCGACAGATGGCCATCCAGCCTCTGTTTAAAAGCTTCCAAAGAAGGAGCCTCCACCACACTCCGGGGCAGAGAGTTCCACTGCTGAATGGCTCTCACAGTCAGAAATTTCTTCCTAATGTTCAGATGGAATCTCCTTTTTTGTAGTTTGAAGCCATTATTCCGCATCCTAGTCTCCAGGGAAGCAGAAAGCGAGCTTGTTCCCTCCTCCATATGACTTCCTCTCACATATTTATACATGGCTATCATGTCTCCTCTCAGCCTTCTCTTCTTCAGGATAAACATGCCCAGCTCTTTGAGCCACTCCTTATAGGGCTTGTTCTCCAGACCCTTGATCACTTTAGTCACCCTCCTCTGGACACATTCCAGCTTGTCAATATCTCTCATAGAATCATAGAATCAAAGAGTTGAAAGAGACCTCATGGGCCATCCAGTCCAACCCCCTGCCAAGAAGCAGGAACATTGCATTCAAATCGCCTCTGACAGATGGCCATCCAGCCTCTGTTTAAAAGCTTCTAAAGAAGGAGCCTCCACCACACTCCAGGGCAGAGAGTTCCACTGCTGAACGGCTCTCACAGTCAGGAAGTTCTTCCTCATGTTCAGATGGAATCTCCTTTCTTGTAGTTTGAAGCCATTATTCCGCATCCTAGTCTCCAGGGCAGCAGAAAAAAAGCTTGCTCCCTCCTTCCTATTTTATTTTTGGTCATGTCAGGAGTGACCTGAGGAACTGCAAGTCGCTTCTGGTGTGAGAGAATTGGCCGTCTGCAAGGATGTTGCCCAGGGGACGCCCGGATGATTTGATATTTTATCATCCTTGTGGGAGGCTTCTCTCATGTCCCCGCATGAGGAGCTGGAGCTGATAGAGGGAGCTCATCCGCCTCTCCCCGGATTCGAACCTGCGACCTGTCGGTCTTCAGTCCTGCCGGCACAGGGGTTTAACCCACTGCCCCACCGGGGGCTCCTCCTCCTCCCTGTGGCTTCCTCTCACATTTATACATGGCTATCATATCTCCTCTCAGCCTTCTCTTCTTCAGGCTAAACATGCCCAGCTCCTTAAGCCGCTCCTCATAGGGCTTGTTCTCCAGCCTCTTGATCATTTTAGTCACCCTCCTCTGGACACATTCCAGCTTGTCAATATCTCTCATAGAATCAAAGACTTGGAAGAGACCTCATGGGCCATCCAGTCCAACCCCCTGCCAAGAAGCAGGAATATTGCATTCAAAGCACCCCCGACAGATGGCCATCCAGCCTCTGTTCAAAAGCTTCCAAAGAAGGAGCCTCCACCACACTCCGGGGCAGAGAGTTCCACTGCTGAACGGCTCTCACAGTCAGGAAGTTCTTCCTAATGTTCAGATGGAATCTCCTTTCTTGTAGTTTGAAGCCATTATTCCGCATCCTAGTCTCCAGGGAAGCAGAAAACAAGCTTGCTCCCTCCTCCCTATGACTTCCTCTCACATATTTATACATGGCTATCATGTCTCCTCTCAGCCTTCTCTTCTTCAGGCTAAACATGCCCAGCTCTTTGAGCTGCTCTTCATAGGGCTTGTTCTCCAGACCCTTGATCATTTTAGTCGCCCTCCTCTGGACACATTCCAGTTTGTCAACTCTCTTCATAGAATCATAGAATCAAAGAGTTGGAAGAGACCTCATGGGCCATCCAGTCCAATCCCATGCCAAGAAGCAGGAATATTGCATTCAAATCACCCCTGACAGATGGCCATCCAGCCTCTGTTTAAAAGCTTCCAAAGAAGGAGCCTCCACCACACTCCGGAGCAGAGAGTTCCATTGCTGAACGGCTCTCACAGTCAGGAAGTTCTTCCTCATGTTCAGATGGAATCTCCTTTCTTGGAGTTTGAAGCCATTATTCCGCATCCTAGTCTCCAGGGCAGCAGAAAACAAGCTTGCTCCCGCATTCCTATTTTTATTTTATTTTTTGGTCGTGTCAGGAGTGACCTGAGAAACTGCAAGTCACTTCTGGTGTGAGAGAATTGACCGTCTGCAAGGACGTTGGCCAGGAGATGCCCGGATGATTTGATGTTTTATCATCCTTGTGGGAGGCTTCTCTCATGTTCCCGCATGAGGAGCTGGAGCTGATAGAGGGAGCTCATCCGCTTCTCCCCGGATTCGAACCTGCGACCTGTCGGACTTCAGTCCTGCAGGCAAAGGGGTTTAACCCACTGCGTCACTGGGGGCTCCTCTCCTTCCTATGACTTCTCCTCACATATTTATACATGGCTATCATATCTCCTCAAAGCCTTCTCTTCTTCAGGCTAAACATGCCCAGCTCTTTGAGCTACTCCTCATAGGGCCTGTTCTCCAGACCCTTGATCACTTTAGTCACCCTCCTCTGGACACATTGTCAATATCTCTCCTCAATTGTGCTCAGAATTAGTCACAATATTCCAGGTGTTGAAACAGACATCCTATCTTCTTCCTCTTCTCTCAACTTCTTTCTCTTCCTCTTTCCTTTTCTTCTTCTCCTTTACTAGATCAAAATCTTTTTATTTCTTTGTTTGAAATATTCAGTAACATTTTCCCAGTTTGTTTCTTGCATATTTATTCCTTTACTTCTTGATATAAGAAAGGTGAGCCTATCCATGTTCTTTATCTCCAATATTTTTTATTAATCTCTCATTTTCATCTGGTATTTCTGTCTGCTTCCATTTTCTGGCATGGCAAATCCTTGCTGCTGTTGTCATTAGGAACAAAAGTTTGTCCGTTTTTTTCTCAATTTCTAAATCATGTATTCCTAACAGAAATAATTCTGCTTTCCATGGTATATTTATTTTTGAAATCTTTTGTAATTCTTTTTGTACTTCCTTCCAGTATACTTAAGCCTTATTGCAGGTCCACCACATGTGGAAGGTAAGGTAAAGGTAAAGGTAGTCCCCTGACATTAAGTCCAGTCATGTCTGACTCTGGGGTGTGGTGCTCATCTCCATTTCTAAGCCGAAGAGCCAGCGTTGTCCATAGACACATCCAAGGTCATGTGGCCGGCATGACTGCATGGAGCGCCGTTACCTTCCCGCTGGAGCGGTACCTATTGATCTACTCACATTTGCATGTTTTCGAACTGCTAGGTTGGCAGAAGCTAGGGCTGACAGCGGAAGCTCACGCCGCTTCCCGGAATTGAACCTGCGACCTTTCGATCAACAAGCTCAGCAGCTCAGTGCTTTAACCCACTGCGCCACCGGGGGTTGTATGACCCCTCTTTTTCTTTACACTTCCAGCAACTTGTACTTGTGTTGTTGTAACTTTTCCCTAGCTTCTTCGGGGTCATATACCATTGATAAGCTGTCTTCACCCAGTTTTCCTTTAGATCTATCGCAAGGCTGTATTTTATTTGTTTCCTCCAAATTTCCTCCCTGGTGGTGAAAATTTCAGAACTCTAACAAAACTCTCAAAATTTCATTATAAATGGCAGTTCCTAAAATTGGTTCTCTAATAAAAATCGCCAAATAATGAAATAATAATTAGATTTTGAAAGAGTTCTGAAATTTTCACCACCAGAACTTTAGTTTTGTAAGTACTTTAGAACCATTTAGAACCATGCATTGAACAGGCCTAATAGACAGACAGACAGACAGACAGACAGACAGACATAGATAGATAGATAGATAGATAGATAGATAGATAGATAGATAGATAGATAGACAGACAGACAGACAGACAGAGCTTTGGATAGCACAGAGTGTAATGCAGTGTTTCTCAAACTGGGGGGGTCGGGACACCTGGAGGGGTCGCAAGGGGGTGTCAGAGGGGTCACCAAAGACCATCAGAAAACACATTATTTTATGTTGGTCGTGGGTTTCTGTGTGGGAAGTTTGGCCCAATTCTATCGTTGGTGGGGTTCAGAATGCTCTGTGATTGTAGGTGAACTAAATCCCAGTAACTACAACTCTCAAATGACAACATCACTTTTTTTGAGTGAAGGACATACATTGGGTTGTTAGGTGTCTTGTGTCCAAATTTGGTGTCAATTCGTCCAGTGGTTTTTGAATTCTGTTAATCCCACAAATGAACATTACATGTTTATTTATATAGATTTATCTACACCCTTCTCTGTAAGTGAACTATACATCCCAGCAGCTACAACTCCCAAATGTCAAGGTTTATTTCCCCCAAAACATTTGGGCATATTGAGTATTTGTGCCATGTTTGGTCCTGATCCATCATTGTTTGAGTCGTGTCAGGAGTGACTTGAGAAACGGCAAGTCGCTTCTGGTGTGAGAGAATTGGCCGTCTGCAAGGACGTTGCCCAAGGTGAATTGATGTTTTTTTATCATCCTTGTGGGAGGCTTCTCTCATGTCCCCGCATGAGGAGCTGGAGCTGATAGAAGGAGCTCACTCGCCTCTCCCCGGATTTGAACCTGCGACCTGTTGGTCTTCAGTCCTGCCGGCACAGGGGTTTAACCCACTGTGCCACCGGGGGCAGCGGGTTAAAAAAAAATGTTTGAGTCCACAGTGCTCTCTGGACGTAGGTGAACTAAAACTCCAAAACTCAAGGTCAATGCTCACCAAATCCTTCCAGTATTTTCTATTGGTCATGGGAATTCCGTGTGCCAAGTTTGGTTCAATTCCATTCAGGCCCGTAGCCAGGATTTCAATTCGGGGGGGGGGGCTGAGTTTGTTTCGGGGGGGGGGCTGAGTCTGAGTGAAAGAGGGTCTACCCTAGCAAACCTTTTGTATCGTTACCCCAATACCCCCATGCATATGGGATATATTGAGTATGGTGATCAGATCATGATATGAATAAACATAACAGTTTAAATAATGCACCAGTAAGGCCTTTTCGCAAACCACCATGAGAATTTCGGGGGGGGGGGGACTGAAGCCCCTCAAGCCCCCACCCCCGGCCCCCCGCTACATGATTCCATTGTTGGTGAAGTTCAAAATGCTCTTTGATTGTAGGTGAACTATAAATCCCAGCAACTACAACTCCCAAATGACAAAATCAATCCCCCCCCACCCCACTAATATTCAAACTCGGGTGTATCGGGTATTTGTGTCAAATTTGGTCCAGTCAATGAAAATGCACCAGATATTTACATTACAATTGACAACAGTAGCAAAATTACAGTTATGAAGAAGCAACAAAAATGATTTCATGTTTGGGGGGTCACCACAACATAAGGAACTGTATTAAGGGGTCGTGTTATTAGGAAGGTTGAGAAACACTGGTGTAATGGGTTGATTGAAATGAGATGAGGAAGGGCAGGTATTTTGCCCTTCCTCATGCTGGAATGTTAATTTGCCTCTATGTCTGTTTATATATGTTGTATGTCTAATTGGCATTGAACATTTGCCATGTATATGTCCATTGTAATCCACCCTGAGTCCCCTGCGGGGTGAGAAGGGTAGAATATAAATACTGTAAATAAATAAATAAATAAAATACATATCTAGTTAGTATACTTACTTACTTTACTTACTTAGGTGATACCTTATAGCCCAAGGATGATGTCCCTCCAAGTTCAATGTCTTGGCGGTGAGTCCATAGGTGGCTGTGGAGCCCTATTCTTGATCCTCATGTTCTCCTGCAGTGAGGACATTGGTTTCCAGGCAGAAGGTGGTTCCGGTCAGGGTTGGCTTGAAGTGCCTTTCTCTTGGCACATTTCTCCCTTTTGCCCTCCATTCATGCCTCTTTGAATTCTGCAGCACTGCCGGTCACAGCTGACCTCCAGCTGGAGCACTCAAGGCCCAGGGCTTCCCAGTTCTCGTTGTCTATGCCACAGTTTTTGAGGCTGGCTTTAAGCCCATCTCTAAATCTCTTTTCCTGTCCACCAACATTCCTTTTTCCGTTCTTGAGTTCGGAGTAGAGTAACTGCTTTAGGAGATGGTGATCAGGCATTTGGACAACGTGGCCAGTCCAGCTGAATTGATGGCGGAGGAGCATCGCTTCAGTGTTGGTGGTCTTCACTTCTTCCAGCATGCTGACATTTGTCCGCCTGTCTTCCCAAGAGATTTGCAGGGTTTTTCAGAGGCAACGCTGATGGAATCGTTCCAGGAGTTGCAAATGACGTCTGTAGACAGTCCATGTCTCGCAGGCGTACAGCAGGGTTGGGAGGACAATAGCTCTATAAACAAGCACCTTGGTATCCTTATGGATGTCCCAGTCCTCAAACACTCTCTGCTTCATTCGGAAAAATGCTGCACTCACAGAGCTCAGGCGGTGTTGCATTTCGGTGTCGATGTTGACTTTGGTGGAGAGGTGGCTGCCAAGGTAGCGGAAATGATCAAAATTTTCTAATGTTACACCATTAAGATAGATAGATAGATAGATAGATAGATAGATAGATAGATAGATAGTAGGCCTGTTCAATGCATGGTTCTAAATGGTTCTAAAGTACTTACAAAACTAAAGTTCTGGTGGTGAAAATTTCAGAACTTTAACAATACTCTCAAAATTTCATTATAAATGGCAGTTCCTAAAATTGGTTGTCATAAAAATCGCCTATAATGAAATAATAATTAAATTTTGAAAGAGTTCGTAAATTTTCACCACCAGAACTTTAGTTTTGTAAGTACTTTAGAACCATTTAGAACCATGCATTGAACAGGCCTACTAAATAGACAGACAGAGCTTTGGATAGCACAGAGTGTAATGGGTTGGTTTAAATGAGATGAGGAAGGGCAGGTGTTTTGCCATAGCATTGGCCTCTTTGGCACAGACCGCAGCAGTAGCACAGCCTTCCTCCTCCTCCTCTTGCAAGGCCAGGCGTGGCCTCTGCTCCAGCTTTCCTCTGTTTTGCGATAAGGAAGAGTTGGCAAGTGACGCTGCGGTGAGTGAGGACTGCGAGCTGGGCCTCACAGGGAGAGGAAGGGGCTTTTACATTACTTTAATACTTTTTTAAAACACTCTGATCTTATGGTCTTTTTTTCTCTCTCCTGCAGGGCAGCTGTCGCTTGTACACACAGGCGGTGCCACAGAAGAAGAACAAACAGGTAAGGGGATGTTGACCACCAAAAAGTTCAGGGATTTCTTAAGAGGACCCGGATGGAGGGGCCTTGGGTTAGGATCAGGTTCAGCTAGGGCTCCTTCTACACTACCCTATATCCCAGGATCTGTGGAGACTCATATAATCCAGGTATATCTGGGATTTTTTTTTTTGTCGTGTCAGGAGCGACTTGAGAAACTGCAAGTCGCTTCTGGTGTGAGAGAATGGCCGTCTGCAAGGACGTTGCCCAGATGATTTGATGTTTTACCATCCTTGTGGGAGGCTTCTCTCATGTCTCCGTATGAGGAACTGGAGCTGGTAGAGAGAGCTCATCCGCCTCTCCTCGGATTCGAACCTGTGACCTGTTGGTCTTCAGTCCTGCCAGCACAGGGGTTTAACCCACTGCGCCACTTCATCCTGGGATATAGATCCAGCGTCAGAGCTTTCCTTCCATGCAGCAATGCCATCATGACATCTCTTTACAAACCCGAAATGATGTCTCTGGGTCCTCCAGCACTCCTTTTGAGTGGGGTCGAAACTTTTGATGAAAATGAGATCGATTCCATATATATTTTAGACCGCTGTTGTTTTTCGCGTCAATACTTCCTTGCAAAACAAAACACTGTTTGCAGGTGCCATCTTGGAAGGGGAAAGCCCTCTTGGAGGGAATGCCTCCTCGAAGATGGTATCTACTGTAACAGGTGTGTGTGTGTGTCGCATCCAAACAAAGGAAGAATGCCTTTGTTTATTAAATCGCTAAAAACAATGCTTCCGTGGATCATTTAAACAATCAAAGCACTAAAGCACACTGCTCTATATCTCAGGATCGGATCCCAGGTTTTCTGCTTTAAATTGGATTATATTATATTCTCCTTTGCCAGATATTCTGGAATAAACAGAAAACCTGGGATTAGATCCTGGGATGTAGGGCCTGTCTAAGGGCCTCTAAGATTCCTAGGCAGTTTTAAAAAACAAAGTAAATATATTGTCGAAGGCTTTATATATTGTAAATATATTGTCGAAGTAAATATACATAGATTTTTCTTACTTGGAATAAGGAAGCTTGCATCCATTCTGATGTGAGTCTGTTTTGCCCAGAAGATCACAAACCTGGCAAACTGCCTCAGAGGTAAATTGTGAAAATTTCATCCTATTTGTATTTTCTCACATACACCTGCACTTTCTGGGTGAAAAAAAATATATGCACAATTGAGTTTCTAAATCATTTTGATTGAATTTTGCCTTCTTTTTTATTATTGTTACTAGCGGTCCCCTGCCACACGTTGTAATATGACATGTAATAAGAAGTACATAATTATTATATTGTATTATTAGTAGTATTATATTAAATTATAATATTATCAATATTATATGTGTATACAATATGTTATATTGTTAGCACAACACAATATTATTATGTACTAGCCGTCTCCTGCCACACGTTGCTGTTGCCCAGTCTGGGTGATCTGGAATATAAAGTAATTAGAAAGCACTGGTTTCTCATACATATAATTTCTTTATGCTTGTGGGTAAACAGTATTTCTTGCTGTTTCTTTCTCAGTGTTGATTTGGAGATTGTCTGGTTTGCCTACTCTGGAACGTGCAACATATCATTGTCCTTCTTCAGGCGTCCCTTTCAAATCTATGATACTATATTAGTGTGTGTGTGAATCATATTTATCTATATCTATGGCTGGAAGGCTCTTTGTCAGGAGGGCTTTGATTATGTTTTCTTGCCCTGGTGAAGAGAGTTGGACTGGATGGCCTTGAGTATTTTCTGTTGGTCATGGGGGTTCTGTGTGGGAAGTTTGCCCCAGTTCTGTCATTGGTGGGGTTCAGAACACTCTTCGATGTCTGTGTACTATAAATCCCAGTAACTACAACTCCCAAATGTCAAGGTCTATTTCCTCCAAACTCCATCTGTGTTCATATTTGGGCATATGAAATATTCGTGCCAAGTTTGGTCCTGATCCATCATTGTTTGAGTCCATGGTAGTCTCTGGATGTAGGTGAACTACAACTCCCAAACTCAAGGTCAATGCTCACCAAACCCTTCTACTGTTTTCTGTTGGTTCAATTCTATCATGCTATTTGATTGTAGGTGAAATATAAATCCCAGCAACTACAACTCCCAAAAGATAAAATCATTTTTTTTTTGAGTGAAAGACATACATTGGGTTGTTAGGTGTATGCTGTCCAAATTTGGTGACAATTCGTCCAGTGGTTTATGAGTTAATCCCACAAACGAACATTACATTTTTATTTATATAGACTACCTGTCCCCTGCCACGGGTTGCTGTGGCCCAGTCTGTGTATATGTGTTTTGTGTGTGTGCCTATGTGTATATACATCTGTGTATATGTGTGTGTTTGTGTGTATATGTGGTTTTGCGCATGCATTGTAATGTATTTTTTGGTTTTTCGCTTTCTAAGAACCTTCTGCTGTGTTTTTCAGTGTTTTTCTGAGTGATGATCACTCCTTGGGTTAGTAGGTGTCTTGTGTCCAAATCTGGCGTCAATTCGTCCAGTGGTTTTTGAGTTATGTTAATCCCACAAACAACCAGTACATTTTTATTTATATAAGAAGTCTAGCCGTCCCCTGCCACGCATTGCTGTGGCCCAGTCTGTGTATATGTTTTGTGGGTGTATATATCTGTGTGTGTATATTTGTATGTTGGTGTATATATGTGTGTTTGTGTACATATGTGGTTTTGCGCATGCATCATAATGTAATTTTTTTTGTTTTTAAGTCCCTTCTGCTGTGTTCTTCAGTGTTTTTATGAGTGATGGTCACTCATTGGCTTGAGAGGTGTCTTGTGTCCAAATTTGGGGTCAATTCGTCCAGTGGTTTATGAGTTATGTTAATCCCACAAATGAACATTACATTTTTATTTATATAGATTTTCCACTGCCAGCTATTCTGGAATAAACAGAAAACCCAGGATTAGATCCTGGGATATAGGGCCTGTCTAAGGGCCCCTAAGATTCCTAGGCAGTTTTAAAAAACAAAGTAAATATACATAGATTGCTTTTACTCGGAATAAGGAAGCTTGCATCCATTCTGATGTGAGTCTGTTTTGCCCAGAAGATAACAAACCTGGCAAACTACTTGGCATATTGTTCATTTTCTGGTCCCAATTCAAGGTGCAGGTGCTCACCTACAAAGCCCTAAACGGTTTGGGACCCGCCTACCTGCGTGACCGCATCTCCGTATATGAACCCACACGATCCCTCCGATCATCTGGAGAGGCCTTGCTCATGATCCCACCTGCGTTGCAAGCGTGTTTGGTGGGGACGAAGGACAGGGCCTTCTCTGTGGTAGCCCCCCGACTCTGGAACTATCTCCCCAAGGACATCAGACAAGCCCCAACGTTGGCAGTCTTTAGGAAGAGCTTGAAGACCTGGCTAAAGTTCATCTTATTTGTATTTTCTCAAATACAACAATTTCTGGGTGAAAAAATATGCACAATTGAGCTTCCAAATCATCTCGATTGAATCTTGCCTTCTTTTTATTATTATCATTGTCTGCCTTGTTGTTGTTCTGTTTGTTTGTTTGTTTTGCTTGAGCTTCTAACAACTTGCATTTCCAACAAAATGCTGTGTTTCCTCAAGTCTGACGCATTTTTTCCTATATAAACATCTCTAAAAATGGAGCATGTCTTAGAAAAGCAGGTGTATCTTATGTATTTGTGGAGGTGGTGTTGGTACTGAAATCAGGGTGAGTCGTACAATCCAACAGAAAAAAAAATATATGGTGTTGTGTTTCACTTCTGCAAATAGACTGTTTCAACAGAGGGAGGAGCAGGAGAGAGGTTTTACAAAAGCGAGCGGCTTTCTTTTCTTCTAAACAAGGTTTAGAATTATCGAACTATGTGTGTTCATTCTCGTTGTGTTTTGGAAGAAGGAAGTATCTCAAAACAAAGGAAGCTTAAAGAAAGAGGTGCCCCATCATGATGCATTTACTTCCAATAAAATATCACTATGAAAACATTTGATCAAAGAACAACGTATTGTCACTTAAATTAGTGAGAGTATATTTAAATTAATTAGGGTATCACAGGGAATTTCTATCTCAGACACCAAGATGTATTGGAGTTATATTTTTGTTAGGCATTAAAGCACAACTGAAATTCAATTGATATGTATTCATCAGATCTTAGGGCCCTTCCAGACAGGCCTATATCCCAGGATCTGATCCCAGGTTTTCTGCTTTAATCTGAATTATATGATCCTGCACTGCCAGATTTTATTTATTTATCATGTCAGGAGCAGACCAAACAGTTGTGTTGCATTTTTTAACAAACAAACAAAACACAAAGTTTGCAAGCTTGGTAGTTGATTAAATGTCCTTTGACCAGTATCTGGCCACTTGGAGTGCCTCTGGTGTTGCCACAAGAAGGTCCTCCATTGTGCATGTGGCAGGGCTCAGGTTGCATTGCAGCAGGCGGTCAGTGGATTGCTCTTCTCCACACTCGCATGTCGTGGATTCCACTTTGTGGCCCCATTTCCTAAAGTTGGCTCTGTATCTCGTGGTGCCAGAGCGCAGTCTGTTCAGCGCCTTCCAAGTCGCCCAGTTTTCTGTGTGCCCAGGGGGGAGTCTCTCATTTGGTATCAGCCATTGATTGAGGTTCTGGGTTTGAGCCTGCCACTTTTGGACTCTCGCTTGCTGAGGTGTTCCAGCGAGTGTCTCTGTAGATCTTAGAAAACTATTTCTTGATTTAAGTCGTTGACATGCTGGCTGATAACCAAACAAGGGATGAGCTGGAGATGTCTCTGCCTTGGTCCTTTCACTATTGGTTGCTACTTCCCGGCGGATGTCAGGTGGTGCAATACCGGCTAGACAGTGTAGTTTCTCCAGTGGTGTAAGGCGCAGACACCCCGTGATAATGCATACTCAGCAGCAGAGTAGCATAGCGCAAGGGCAGATGTCTTCACTGTGTCTGGTTGTGATCCCCAGGTTGTGCCAGTCAGCTTTCGTATGATATTGTTTCTAGTGCCCACCTTTTGC